GTCCTGGGATTTTATGAGGCCAACACGGAATTGACAAACATTGCAGTTCCACCCTTATCCTCTAGGGGGTGACACCAGAAGTGAGCAAATCCTCATTGACTCCCATGTTAAAAATGCTGATTTCACAGCAGAAATAAACATGTTTACAGCCTGGTTCAAAAACCCATTTTAGGTTTAATAGATCTAGTTTACATTCATGACAAATGAATTATTTTTGTAACTTTTCTGTTTAAGTGTAAATGCTTAAAATTCTGAATAATTATTGACACAGCGCCAGTAGCCGAGTGGACACTCCCCTCTCTGGAAGGGAGCGTGACACTTAGCCAGGAGCCAAGTCGACGCTCTCAGACACCGTTGACAGTGGCAGACTCGCAGATCTTTGACCGTGGTGGAACAGCGAAGCCTAATATCCTTGGTCAGCTTACCTAGTTATGATTTAGTTACTAAGCAGGCTGGAGGTGCCTTCCTTTTGAAGTTGCTCTACTGCTTTTTCCTTGCTAAAAACACCTGGAAAAACAGTGTTAGCTTTGGGTTAGCATGTAGCTCATGTCTTGCTGACCTCTGACTGTGGAGCATGAGCTGATGTAAAAGGCCACAGCGCTACGATCACAGTAGTCTGAAGCTGTACTTGCACACTCAACAAAAATATAAACGCAACACCTTTGTTTCTGTGCCGATTTTTCATGAGATGGACTTAAAGATCTAAAATTCATTCCAGATACACAATATTACCATTTCTCTCAAATATTGTTCACAAATCAGTCTAAATGTGTGATAGTGAGCACTTCTGCTTTGCTGAGATTATCCATCCCACCTCACAGGTGTGCCACATCAAGATGCTGATCTGACATCATGAGTAGTGCACAGGTGTACCTTATACTGCCCACAATAAAAGGCCACCCTGGAATGTGCAGTTTTTTGCTTTATTGGGGGTCTGGGGACTCAGAACTGGTCAGTATCTGGTGTGACCACCATTTGCCTCACGCAGTGCAACACATCTTCTTCGCATAGAGTTTATCAGATTGTTAATTGTGGCCTGTGGAATGTTGGTCAAATCAAATCAGATCAAATCAAATCAACTTTATTTATATAGCACTTTTCGTACAAAAAATGCAACTCAAAGTGCTTTACAGATTAATATGGCCCCATAGATCCCATACTCCCATCCCAGTCCCCCTCCCCAAGTATAAAACAATTAACAATTATGGTTCCCCTCCCGCACCCAACTTCCAAAGTGGACATACAATCACCCGCACACTCGTCCATACACACACACACTCACACACAAACACACACACACACACACACACACACACACACACACACACACACACACACACACACACACACACACACACACACACACACACACACACACACACACACACACACACACACACACACACGTGAACACCAAAGGAAACAATAGGCTGAGTTCAGATGGGTCAAGTAATGAACGAGACATCATCAGCAGAGCCATCTGCCCTGACAGTAACAGATCCACGGCAGCAGCCAAGACACCGGCCCATGACGCCCAGTGGCGGAGGGCAGAAACCCCCACCAGTGCCCGGGCACTACCCGAGGAGCGCCCCGGCCGCCGCCGCCGCCCCTGACCACCGGCCCCAAGGCAGAGGGCTCCGCAGAGGAAACACTGGAGGATTAAAATATATAACATGTAAAATAACATAAGCTAATATGGATAAAAAGTAACTGATAAAAAGGGATTATAAAGATAGTAAAAGAAAACATAATCATGTAAAAACACTTGGATGTAAATAAAATGATAAAATTAATTAAAAGATATAAATATGTATATATAGATGCCAGCAGGAATGGCTGTGCGAAGTTGTTGGATATTAGTGGGAACTGGTACACGCTGTCGTATACGCCGGTCAAGCACATCCCAAACATGCTCAACGGGAGACATGTCCAGTGAGTATGCTGGCCATGCAAGAACTGGGACATTTTCAGCTTCCAAGAATTGTGCACGAAACATGGGGCCGTGCATTATCTTGCTGAAACATGAGGGTATGTTCATGGATGTACAGCACAACAATGGGCCTGAGGATCTCATCACGGTATCTCTGTGCATTCAAAATGCCATCAATAAAATGCACCTGTGTTCTTCGCCCATAACAGATGCCTGCCCATACCATAACCCCACCACCACCATGGGCCACTCGATCCACAACATTGACTTTGGCAAAGCGATCACCCACACAACGCCACACACTCTGTCTGCCATCTGCCCTGAACAATGCAAACCAAGATTCATCCGTGAAGAGAACACCTCTCCAACATGCCAGACGCCATCGAATGTGAGCATTTGCCCACTCAAGTCTGTTACGGCGACGAGCTGGAGTCAGGTCAAGACCCTGATGAGGACAACGAGCATGCAGTTGAGCTTCCCTGAGACGGTTTCTGACAGTTTGTGCAGAAATTGTTTGGTTATGCAAACCAATTGTTTCAGCAACTGTCTGAGTGGCTGGTCTCAGACGATCTTGGAGGTGAACCTGCTGGATATGGAGGTCCTGGGCTGGTGTGGTTACACGTTGTCTGCGGTTGTGAGGCCGGTTGGATGTACTGCCATATTCTCTGAAAAGCCTTTGGAGATGGCTTATGGTGGAGAAATGAACATTCAATACATGAGCAACAGATCTGGTTGACATTCCTGCTGTCAGCATGCCAATTGCACGCTCTCTCGATGCTTGTGGCATCTGTGGCATTTTGCGGTGAGACAAAACTGCACATTCCAGGGTGGCCTTTTATTGTGGGCAGTATAAGGTACAACTGTGCACTACTCATGATGTCGGATCAGCATCTTGATGTGGCACACCTGTGAGGTGGGATGGATTATCTCAGCAAAGCAGAAGTGCTCACCATCACACATTTAGACTGATTTGTGAACAATGTTTGAGAGAAATGGTAATATTGTGTATCTGGAATTAATTTTAGATCTTTAAGTCCATCTCATGAAAAATCAGAGCAGAAACAAAGGTGTTGCGTTTATATTTTTGTTGAGTGTATAATAATGATTGTTTCAGGTGTTGTTGAGGTGTTGTGCACGCATGTGTATCTGCTAGTGCTGAAGGTGTTTTAGAGAACAATAGGTACGCTTGACCACTTCCTTCATAGCACCCTCAATAAAAAGACTAGCTCCTTCATAGCACCTGCAGAAAAAAATTTCTGGAGCCGCCACTGCTTTAGACAGACAACAGAGCTCGTCTCGTCTCGTCTCGTCTTCCTCCGCTTATCCGGGTCCGGGTCGCGGGGGCAGCATCCCAACTAGGGAGCTCCAGGCCGTCCTCTCCCCGGCCTTGTCCACCAGCTCCTCCGGCAGGACCCCAAGGCGTTCCCGGACCAGATTGGAGATGTAACCTCTCCAATGTGTCCTGGGTCGACCCGGGGGCCTTCTGCCGGCAGGACATGCCCGAAACACCTCCCCAGGGAGGCGTCCAGGAGGCATCCTGACCAGATGCCCAAACCACCTCAACTGGCTCCTTTCGATCCGGAGGAGCAGCGGTTCTACTCCGAGTCCCTCCCGAATGTCCGAGCTCCTCACCCTATCTCTAAGGCTGAGCCCGGCCACCCTACGGAGGAAACTCATTTCGGCCGCTTGTATCCGCGATCTCGTTCTTTCGGTCATTACCCAAAGCTCATGACCATAGGTGAGGATTGGGACGTAGATCGACCGGTAAATCGAGAGCCTGGCTTTCTGGCTCAGCTCCCTATTCCCCACGACAGATCGGCTCAGCGTCCGCATCACTGCAGACGCCGAACCAATCCGCCTGTCGATCTCCCGATCCCTCCTACCCTCACTCGTGAACAAGACCCCGAGATACTTAAACTCCTCCACTTGAGGTAGGACCTCTCCCCCGACCCGGAGGTGGCAAGCCACCCTTTTCCGGTCGAGAACCATGGTCTCAGATTTGGAGGTGCTGATCCTCATCCCAGCCGCTTCACATTCGGCCGCGAACCTACCCAGCAAGAGCTGAAGGTCAGAGCTGGATGAAGCTAGGAGGACCACATCATCCGCAAAAAGCAGAGACGAGATTCTCCTGCCACCAAACTCGACACACTCCACACCACGGCTGCGTCTAGAAATTCTGTCCATAAAAGTGATGAACAGAACCGGTGACAAAGGGCAGCCCTGGCGGAGTCCAACCCTCACCGGGAACAGGTCCGACTTACTACCGGCTATGCGGACCAAACTCACGCTCCTCTGGTAAAGGGACTGAATGGCCCTTAACAGAAAGCCACCCACCCCATTCTCCTGGAGCGTCCCCCACAGGGTGCCCCTGGGGACACGGTCATAAGCCTTCTCCAAATCCACAAAGCACATGTGGATTGGTTGGGCAAACTCCCATGCCCCCTCCATCACCCTTGCAAGGGTATAGAGCTGGTCCACAGTTCCACGGCCAGGACGAAAACCACATTGCTCCTCCTCTATCTGAGATTCAACTATCGATCGGACCCTCCTCTCCAGTACCTTGGAGTAGACCTTTCCAGGGAGGCTGAGGAGTGTGATCCCCCTATAGTTGGAACACACCCTCAGGTCACCCTTCTTAAAGATGGGGACCACCACCCCGGTCTGCCACTCCCTAGGAACTGCCCCCGATGACCACGCAAGACAACAGAGCTAAAACATTTATTCATTTATATAAGTAATACTTACATACGTACACATGAAAGATCGCCAAGTCTGCCTTTGTCAAGGTTCATCCTCAAATACTCGCACATGCCACTGTTGATTCTGCCTATCAATCCATTTTCTTATCAATTCCTGAGAAATTCAATAGGCGACAAACAAATTAATTGCAAATGGTCTCCTGACATTAAAAATGTCAGTTTCCTAATAATGAACTTTAGCTACAAATACAAACATATATTCTCCTGAAAAACGAGGCAGGTGCTATCTTGTCTAAATAATTTATTACAGAAACAGCAAAGTTGTGAAATCCAACTTCCTTTATGGTATTTTGTGTCTGATTTCTTCTCAGCCTCTGTGCCTCAGTTTTGTAACTCCCCAACGGTGATAGTGATGGTGGGATTGCCAGCCAGAGGGAAGACATACATCTCCAAGAAGCTCACTCGCTACCTGAACTGGATTGGAGTTCCAACTAAAGGTCAGTTTGGATCTTTTATTTTATATGAATCCCTTCAAACCATCAGGGAGAGTTTTGCCACAAAACATATTACTTTTGTATTTTCTAACTCTGTAAGTGTTTAACGTGGGCCAGTACCGCAGGGATGCAGTCAAGACCTATAAGAACTTTGAGTTCTTCAAGCCTGACAACGAGGATGCCATGAGAATCCGCAAGTGAGTACAAGGAAGTGGATCTTCATGGCTTCACTAGGCTTTTTGAGGCTTTACAAACATCCCTCATTGACACATTTTGCTGTGTTTGTTCCTTTGCCTATACGAGTGTACTTTATCTCTCAGGGCCTGCGCTTCAGCTGCACTCAAAGATGTTGCTGCCTATTTCTCAAAGGAACATGGACAAGTCGCCGTGAGTAAGAGGACAACGAAAACTGTCCCGTTTATCACCATTACACCAAATATTTGCAATCTACTAAGTATGGCATTGCAATTATTCTAATTTTAAATTTTGGCTCTAAATGTCACTAAAACTAATACAATTTTCCTCAAAATAGTAGTGCTAAATATTTTGTCACATTCAGCATGTTCTTGTTTTGTTATGCTTTCAAATGGTGTTCTCATCCTCCCTCCCCAAAGGTTAAGGTTGTGTGTTGTCATGGAGATTTAAAAGGTCCTGCGGAAAATATGACAAAATCAGGGGAAAACGCGACAAAAAGTACACCTCTGTTGTTTTGATTCATGATCTCCATATGACTCTTTTTGTCATGATCTTGCCATGTCCTGACCTCCATGCTAGCACCATCCACCACATCAGCCTTCATGCATCACACCTGGTCCCCTCATCAAGCTCATGCCACAAACCTGCCTCACCAGCTATGTATTCCACAGTCAACCACCAGCACTCTGCCAGATTATTGAACGTGCCTGTGAGTAGATCTTGCAGCCTTTTCATCCTGCCTGATCATCGCCTACCGACCTCGTTTCACGCCTGACCCTCGCCAAGAACTCTGCCTATCTCCATGACCTACGCCTGACCACGACCACGTCCTGAACCTATCTTGTTCTGGTCCATGCCTTCTTCGACCACGTCTCTCGCCTGCTCCTCACATCTGCTTCGTCTCAGCCTGGTTCCGATCCATGCCTGTCCTCGATCAAGTCTCTTGACTGCTCCTTGAACCTGCTTTGTATCATCCTGGTTCCGACCCACGCCTGCCTTCGATTCTCCCTTTACCTGAATTCTGCTCCGGTAACATCTCCTCTTAGCTTCAGGCTAATAAAGACTGTTTTCTACTGCCTACTGTGCTCTCGTGTCCTTACGGTCCTCCGCCAAGCCTCACAACAGAATAATCTGGCCAACATGGACCCAACGCCGACACAGGAATCGCAACGCGGAGTTGAGGCAGCCATCTCTGGCTTGAAATCTGAAGTCAATGAACTGCTGGAGCTACTCCGATCCAACGCTAAGGCAAGCCACCTGACCCACGCTCCAGCAGCTTCCGCCCAACCAGTTCAGCTCCGGGTATCGCCTGTCCACGAGCCACGGCTGGTTCCGTTAGAAGTGTTTAAGGGAGATCCCCAACAATGTCATCCCTTTCTCACACAATGTGAAATTCCCTTCCAACTCCAACCCTCTTCTTTTCCTACAGACAGATCTAAGGTAGCTTATGTGACTTATTTTTTACCAGACCAAGCCATGGTGTGGGGAACTGCTGCTTGGGCTAATGACTTACACATCTGCTACCAGTACCAGACTTTTGCTAATGAACTCACAAGGGTTTTTAACTCAATCCTGCCAAGCCGTGAATCCTCCAGAAAAATTTTGTCTTTGGAACAGGGAGTGACTGATTACATCAGGGATTTCCACTCCATTTCTGCTGACAGCCCCTGGAATGCTGCAGCCCTCATGGACGTTTTCTACTATGGCCTCTCAGATAAGATAAAAAATGAACTGGCGACCCAAGGCCTACCGTTGACCTTGGCGGAGCTTGAAGATCTCGTTACCCGCATCGATCTCCACATGATGGAAAGAGCGAGTGTTCCGACTCCCACGTATGGGGTGGGTCAGATGGTCTGGTTGTCCACAGCGGGCATTCCTCTCAAGGTGGACTGTCGGAAACTGGTCCCCAGATTCATTGGACCCATTGGATTCACTGGATCAGAGGACAACCATGTATTCCAGATCCTCGACCACCTACCTGTGATGAACCCATGCCTCCATCCAACACTTACAAAGTCATCCTCACACTTTTCGAAGATGATCGCCCTGGTACCCCTCAGAAAGCTCCCTACCACCTCTCACATGGCCGATGTAATGGTTTGCAAAGTCTTTCGCCTTTTTGGCCTGCCCCAAGATATTATGTCCGACAGAGGTCCACAGTTTGTTTCCAGATTCTGGAAATCATTCTGCGCCCAGTTGGGCATCCAGGTGAGCCTCTCCTCAGGTTTCCACCCTCAGACTGATGGGCAGACCGAGAGGCACAACAAGGAGGTGGAGGCCAAACTTCGTCTGCTGTGCCTGGATGACGCCACGACCTGGTCCTAGAATCTACCCTGAGTAGAACACGCCATGAACTCCCTGCCCACTACCGCGACAGGTGCCCCCCCCTTTTTTACAGTTGATGGCTACCAACCCTCAGTCTTCTACCTCCAGGAACCTCTGGTCCACACCTCGTCTGCCCAGACCACTGCCCTCAGATGTTGCCTGCTTCACGCCTCGGAGGTCTACGCCCGCTCGACCAACATGCAGAGTGTTCCGACTCCCACGTATGGGGTGGGCCAGAGGGTCTGGTTGTCCACAGCGGACATTCCTCTCAGGGTGGACTGTCGGAAACTGGTCCCCAGATTCATCGGACCCTTCCCTATTTCCAAGGTCTTGAACCCTGCTGCGGTACGTTTCCGCCTTCCCCGCACTCTACAGATCCATCGTTCATTCCAAGTCTCAAAAATCAAGCCTGTGGTTTCGTCGGCGCTGTTGTCATGTCCTGACCTCCATGCTACCGCCATCCACCTCATCAGCCTTCATGCTTCACACCTGGTCCCCTCATCAAGCTCATGCCACAAATCCGCTTCACCTGCTATGTATTCCACAGTCAACCACCAGCACTCTGCCAGATTATTGAATGCGCCTGCTAGTAGATCTTCCGGCCTTTTCATCCTGCCTGATCATCGCCTACCGACCTCGTTTAATGCCTGACCCTCGCCAAGAACTCTGCCTATCTCCATGATAGAAAACAGACGGTGAAACTCTAGGATTAGAAAAGCCTGACAGATCTACGTCACACTGTCTCTAAACATTCATGGACTCACCCATCTCGACTCACGACGGGGAAGGCTCTTGTTGGTTTAGCGTCCAACAACAGAGAACGTTGCAACTCTGACGTGACTCACTTCTAGTTCCTGAAACAGGCGCACTGGAACTTTTTTCCCAGAAAATGCATTCCTACTAGAGACCACTGCAAATGTATTAAAAATATGAGTAAAATTGATCTTTAAAGCATAAACCGGGCTTTATCGCTTTTCCAAAACTCTTATCACTGATCCCATTTTAGATTATCTAATTTGCTAAATAATAATAAAAAAATACTCTTTTCAGTAATCATCATAAGTGAGTACATGTATTTTCCCCCATATGTTGAATGAACAAACTATTAAACCCTTTGTTTTGGGTCTTGCAGGTTTTTGATGCCACCAACACCACCAGGGAGAGAAGGGCCATTATCAACAGCTTTGCAAAGGAGAAAGGCTATAAGGTGAGACCAGAATTTTCACATTTATACAGTCAGAGGTGTTTTGAGGTGATCACTGTAAAAATCCCTTTAAGAAAAACAGTGAATTTAGACAGAGATTCAGTCCAAATAAAACACACAACCTGCCCACCTATCCAGATGGAAACTGATGATTTTCTGAAGGGAAAAACTGAAAAAGAGGAAGACACAGAAACACACTCCAGATTCACCCTGAAGAATCCCATTAGGCAATGCTGATTATAAACTAAAACAAAAGTTTTAAATCAGATTTTTTTCAGTAATAATGCGTTTTTAGAACAATTTTAAATGGTCACATTTTTATGTTTTCATGCATTTTCAGGTGTTTTTTGTAGAATCTATCTGTGATGACCCAGAAATTATTACAGAAAATATCAAGGTCAGAAAAAAAATCATAATTCTTTTTCTAAAAGGTGTTTTCTTTTGAGTGAAATTTCTTTAGATAATTCAAAAATAACTTTTTTTTCTTAGCAAGTAAAGTTTGGGAGCCCAGATTACATCGATCGTGACATAGAAGAAGCTATGCAGGACTTCATACAGCGCATTGAGTGCTACAAGGCTTCCTACACGTCTATAGATGACGAGCTAGACAGGTACAGAGTGGCACGCGTGTGTGAGATCACAACACAGGTCAATATTGTTCTGTTGATGAACACAGGCAGAAATTTAGATGTATGTTGTCATGTTTAACCAGGAAACTCTCCTACATAAAGATCTTTGACGTGGGCAGTAGATACCTGGTGAACAGGGTGCAGGACCACATCCAGAGCAGGATTGTGTACTACCTGATGAACATCCATGTCACACCAAGATCCATCTACTTGAGTCGCCACGGAGAGAGTGAACTCAACCTGTTGGGTTGTATTGGTGGAGATTCTGCATTATCCCCAAGAGGACTAAAGGTGAGGTTAGCATCTTCAGCAGCTGTGAATACAGTATTTTCCAATGTCGATGGTTGCTTAGGGGTCAAGAGTTCAACCTGTAAATGGTGGATTGAAACCAGTCAGTCGTTGTGTCCATGCGAAGACACATCACACTCTTCGTTGGCTGTGGCGGTCAGAGGGACAGGTGGCGCCTGTGTTCAGCAGCCTCGCCTCTGTCAGTGGGCCCCAGAGCAGCTGTGGCTACGATGTAGCTCATCATCACCAGTGTGTGAATGATTGTACTGTAAAGTGCTTTGAAATTGCATTATTATTATTATTATTATTGTTATTTTTTTTGTATATTTGTATGCTTTCACTGAAGTGCCAGAATCAATCAATGCTTCTAAGGCATTATTATTATTATTATTATTATTATTATTATTATTGTTGTTGTTGTTGTTATTATTATTATTATTATTATTATTATTATTATTATTATTATTATTATTATTATTATTATTATTAACCTTTGTTTGCAGTATGCTGGAGCTTTGGCATCCTTTATCAGGGGTCAGAAAATCAAGGATCTGAAGGTGTGGACAAGCCACATGAGGAGGACTATCCAGACTGCAGAGGTTCTAGGGGTCCAATATGAACAGTGGAAAGCTCTCAATGAAATTGATGCTGTAAGTCAATAAAGTACTATTATATAATGTTGTTAAAGTAGGAGATTTGATGGTTAAAAAGTGCTAAATGTCTATTTCTACCAATTTTCTCACCCTCCTAAATGAGTTAGTTCTTAAAAATGTTTCTTTTCTTTTTTTGTTTTGTGGCATTTTGTGGCAAACATGTAGTAGTCTCACTGCAATGTACTTTTAATTTTACTTGAGTATTTCTATAATGATGTATCACTACTGTTACTTAAGTACAATTTCTAGTACTCTTCTACTTCCGCTTCACTGAATGAAGATGCAGTAATTTTGTTGTGTATTGTGGTGCAAAGATTACTCAGATTCTCTGGACTGATTTTTACTGCCGTTGCTTTAAGAAGATGTTCATAGTGAGCCTCCTCTCTCAGGGTGTGTGTGAGGAACTGACCTACGAAGAGATTCAAGAGAATTTCCCTGATGAATTTGCTATGAGAGACCAGGACAAGTATCGTTATCGTTACCCAAAAGGAGAGGTGAGAAGTTGTTCATGTGAAAAGAATACTCGTGTCAAATATAAATCAGAGCATGAAATACAGCAATTATATTTTGTTATTTAATAATGTAATAACATAACGACAGTAAGAAGCTATAACGCTATTATTGCACCCCTGTAGTATTCCTATTCTCCACCAGAGAGCAGATGGCATTCAGGTTTTTGAGGAAAGCACTAATCTTGTTGAAGAGGTAGAGCTATTGAATTAAATCAAATTAAAACTGTGGAACACTGAAAAAACATTTTTCAGTGATTATTTCTGATTTTTACGGGTCACTCTGAGTTTTTCGTTCAGTAACGCCACGTGACACAGGAGATAACATTATATTTTATACAAATAGGTTTCAATATAAATATATAACGAGCCTTTTACTTTAAAATTGTGTCTATACTTGTTAAATTAAATGGTGTATATACTTGTTAAATATGTAAGCTAGCTACTACCTATTAGCCACAGAAGCTGCAACTACTAGCATCCAACCAACCAGAGATAACTGCTTTGAAAAAAAAACATTTCAGATATCAGTCCGATAGCTATAATTAGTTGACTTACATTTCAACTTTCCCCTGAAGTATCTGCCGCTTCTGGTCTGCCATCCATTTAAAAAACTGCAGTGTGTTCTGGGAAATTCTTAACCAAGGCCAGGCTACAAGGCACCTTCTTCCTTGCTCAGCTAGCTAAATGGCTAACACACGGAGAACAGACGCCTCTGTAGAACATGTACATTGGAACACGCCTTGGCGGCTCTTGATGACGTGTCTCCTATAGCAGTGTTTCACAACCCCGGTCCCCAGGGAACACTGTCTTACATGTTTTCCATGACACTGCTTCAGCACACCTGATTTACATTGCCTCCTCAGGAGGACATCCATTGCTGCAGATGCCTGTTAATCACTCATTCATTTATGTCAGGTGTGTGGCAGCAGGGAAACACTGGTGTTTAAAAGGGCAACATGGAAAGCAGGCAGGACATTGTGCCTTAAGGACCAGGGTTGGGAAACACTGTCCAAAGAAACTGGGGCGGGACCAGTACATCAAGGCAAGGTTCCTTGACATTGAGAAACATCCACTGTCACTTAACATTCATGGACTCAGCCATCTCATGACGAGGAAGGCTGCTGTTGGTTTAGCATCCAGGAAAGTGACTCCCTGGAGCCCTGTACATAGGCCCACTGACTGATTATAAGATTGTAGACACGTGTGATGCTAATCAGTGGACACACCGTCCCTTTGGTCACATTATTTTTTACATGACTTTTCTAGGAGTTACCATCATTTCTGTCCAGGCCTGTTGCATGAGATTATTTTTCAAATTATTTTGTTGGAGCATGCTTGAAAAGCAACGCCTGACTTTCTTTGGTTGAATTTCATAGAAATTGTATTTATTGTTACTTAGGTCAGATTCAAAAGTAATAAATAAAGTTAAAATTTAAACCGTAAAGCAAAAAGCAACCAATGGTGTTCTTTAAATACAAACAAGGAGAAAGGTTTCATAGTTTCTTTAATTTACACATATAAATAGCGCAAGACATGCTCAAACTTTATTATTCCACTTCCTATTATCTGCAAAACGAGCTGCAAAACATTTTTTCTTGTTTTCCAGTCCTATGAGGACCTGGTCCATCGACTAGAGCCGGTCATTATGGAGCTGGAGAGGCAGGAAAATGTCCTGGTTATCTGCCACCAGGCTGTAATGCGCTGCCTGTTGGCCTACTTTCTAGACAAATCTGGAGGTAGTGAAAAGAAAAAGATTTCTACACGTGTTAACTTATTTCTTTTCTTTTTTTATGCTTTTCCAAGGCTTAAAATATGATTTAGTATAAAAAACACAAAGACTGTTTATAAACACAGTTGTCTTTTTTTCTGTAGATGAGTTGCCGTACCTCAGATGCCCCCTGCACACGGTGCTTAAACTCACACCTGTAGCCTACGGTAAGTTAGAAGTGCTACAGTGTGAATACCTGATTTCCACTAATGTCTTCCAAAACTTTGCTTTTGTTTTTCCAGGGTGTAAAGTTGAGTCATTTTTCCTCAACATAGAGGCAGTCAACACACACAGAGAAAAGCCAAAGGTGAGTTCTCACAAGTTTCTCCACAACGAATGTGTCCTTCATTAGAATAATCCAATCATATCTAATCATCTAATGGCATAAATCCAATAGTTGTAAGAAGCTTTTGAGTCCCACCTTTTAAAATATTGGACTCACCACCTTGGTCTGGCAGGTCCTTGTGTGACAGTGCAGAGGAATGTCAACCATAGGAGACCCTCTGAAGCTCCCACGTTTCTGGCCATGGTACCTGATACCTGCTTAAGTTAGATTCAGAAAAGCTAAGCCCTAAAAGCTGCCTCTTTCATATCGACAACATTCATCAAAACCACGGTCCCTCTGAACGTTGTCAACTACACCAACAGACACGGCCCCCAGAACCACAGGTCTAGAGTTGATGTGGAGCTGGTGTCATTTAGCTGTTTTGGTTTCTAGCTTCTGGTCAGGCCTGGTCTATCCTGACCAGAAGCTAGAAACCAAGCCATTAGATGCTTCTCAGCAAGTTCCTTAGAGGTCTTGCTTCAAGAGAGTTTCCCAAAAAAATAAAAAAAACTTTAATGGCTTTTTATCTTTGCTGTGTTTGCAGAATGTCAACGTTAACAGAAAGCCAGAGGAGGCCCTGCAGACTGCCCCTGACCATATATGATAACAGCATGAAGGAAATGGGCTGTAGCGGCATATAACTGAATATGTTCTTACTCAAAAGACCCAAAAAATGTTAGAGATGTGCTTAAATTCTTGTGTAAAACAGAGACGAAAGGGTTAATCACAGCAGAAGGATACCAGATCATGGAGAGGCTGCATCTTGCAGCTGGTTCTGTTTTCTGTCCGTGTGAACTATTCCTTTTGCTTATCTGTATGCATGAAGTTTGCTTTTAGTGAAAGCGTCATCGACATACTAAAGACCTCTATGTGGAGGCTGAAAGAGAAAACATTCAGCTGTTTTAAAGATAGCATCACAACCTTGGCTTTATCCATCTGCTGTTCAGGTAACAATAGCTGGTTAAAAGTTAGTGGAGTATTAGCAATCAGCACCAAGGACAGCACCCAAACGAACAAAACATTTGTTACATTCTCAGGACTGATTAGTCGAAAACACACACACACACACACACACACACACACACACACACACACACACACACACACACACACACACACACACACACACACACACAGGTTCTAATGGAAAATTATGAATGAATACATTAAAAAAATTAAATAATTCAAGAGAGTTAAGTGGTTTTATTGCCCAGTTTTAGGTTTCTTAATATATTATTTATTTTATTAAAATAAAATTCTCTAAAATACAACAAATTTCATCAAACACTTTCATCACTTCAAGGCTGGATTACTCCAACTCCTGCTTATACGGCATCAGTAAAGCAGCTCTCTCTAGACTTCAGCTGGTCCAGAATTCTGCAGCTAGGTTGCTGACTGGAGCTGACAGAAGACAACACATTTCTCCAATTCTGAAATCTCTCCACTGGTTGACCGTGCAGTTCAGGATAAACTTCAAAATTATGCTTCTCACTTACAAATCCTTGAACCATCAAGCTCCTCCATATCTGTGTGAACTTGTCCATTACTACAACCCGCCGCGTGCTCTCAGGTCTGAAGATAAGCTCCTCCTAGCTGTTCCCAATGCACGTTTAAAAAGCCGTGGAGAGAGGGCTTTCTCTGTCTGTGCACCGAAGCTGTGGAACGCATTACCACTGCTAGTGAGGCTAGCACCAACAGCTAGCATTTTTAAATCACGCTTGAAAACTCACTACTTCAACCTAGCTTATACCACATAATAATGAACCTCAGTCACATCTGCATGGTTAAAAAATGGAATTCACAATATCAACTTCCGCATTATTCTGGTTCTTTTTTTAAATGTTTTTCTAATTTTTTATTCTCCCGGTGTTTTATTGATTTCTACCTGTTAGTTCTGGGAATTTTGTTGTATTTCCTTTTTATCTTTTATCTGTGTTCGACATGACTGTATAATTTTTTGCTGGTTTAATTAACATTTTTGCTGTACAGAACCTTGTTTGGTTGTAATGCCTTATTGAATGCGCTTTATAAATAAGATTGGATTGGATTGGAAATTACTCAGTATTTACTGGTTCAAAAGAAACTTTTCTAAAGCTTTATCATTTCCGAGCCCTTGCAGGTCGCGAAGCTCCCTCCATCTTTTAAAAGTGTCTCCGTTGTAAATTCTACACACCTGTCATAAATGTCTCACGGCGAGTTGCACAGAAAGATTTTTTAACTGTTTAATTTTCTTTGAATGGTAACTTTTATTTGTTTTCATTGCTTCATTGTAAACGTCTATCTTCTTCCGGCCTTACCCTGCAGTGGGAACTGGGTTGCATTCTTGTTGATTGACAGGTTTCTCTTGTGAATGTGCAAATCTATTGGTTAACGCTCTACTCTTGCATAAACGATTTGTTTGTTTTTCTATAGAGGCCAGAGGAATTATAAATTCTGAAAGATGACCTATTCATATCACAGATAGTCAAATCTGAGTATATTTTGTTCATTTTAAAGTGGCCGTGTGTAGTTTCCTGGTGCTGGGGGCACCAGGGGTGGTTTTAGTTTTCGGCTCGGGGTCCTGCACCTCCGATGATGTCATCATACTGCGCAGCCAAAATGATTTGCATCTCTTTTTTGATTCTGGTCTTTCATATATGTTTTGGAAATAGTTTAGCAGTTTTGTCAAAACATTTGTGTTTTCCACTGCCTAAATGTTTACCAACGTGGCAGCATAACTTCCCTAACTGCAGCCAGTCTGTGTCATCAACAGGCGCAGGACCCTGAGCTGGCCAGAAGAAAACATGGCGTCCCCAAAAGACACTAGACCCGCACCCTCGGTACTTTAGAAGCGGTCAATGTGTAGCTTCCTCAAAAGTGTGTGTGTGTGTGTGTGTGCGTGCGTGCGTGTGTGTGTGTGTGTGCGTGCGTGTGTGTGTGTGTGTGTGTGTGTGTGTGTGTGTGTGTGTGTGTGTGTGTGTGTGTGTGTGTGTGTAAAATGGAGACACCACAGCAACAAACAACCATAAATAAATATATAAATAAATTAACAATAAATAAATTAACAAATACATTTTAACACTGTAAGATAACCATTAAAAGCTACATGAATAAGGACAAGTTCCAGCCAAACAAAACAAACCGATGTCCAAATGGGACGCAGAGCTCGACGAAATTAAGGTAACACCCAGTTAAGCAGGGGTGGATGGGTGGGTGGGTGGGTGGAGGCAGACTTGATGTTTCATCAGAATGATGAGGAGCTGGTAACCCCTCATTTCTCCAGCACCTCAGTGGCAGCAAGCAGCCTGTGAAGTTTCCAGCATGCATGAAAACCAGCTGTGCACTGCTCTGCGTGCACAATCAGGTCTGCTGCCAATCTGTCTGTGAGCTGCAGCCACAGTCCTCCTAACTCTCTACAAACACCTGCGGCAGATGTAATTATTTTATTCTAGGACTCGTCAGATGGAGCGGAGCAGTTCTCACTGAGCTCAGACGGTGCCTTACTTGTGATTCACGCGTCCTGCTGGGAAAAGACTGCATTGGATTTCCGGACTTGTTCTTTAGTCTCGATTCTGCAGCTTGAAGACTGAAAGGGAAAAGCAACCATGAAGTTTTTAAAAATTCACTGGGTTCTGGTTTGTCTCTGCATGAATGTGCAAGAAGGATTATCAGAGGATTATGAGGCGCATCTTGATGAAAATCTTCAATTACATGTAAGTATTTTTTTTCTCCTTTATGTATCTCGTGCTATTTTCAAAAACATGCCCCTTTAGGAAAAAAAGGAATACATCAATCGATGGTTTCTATTATAATTATTATTATTGTTGCTATTATTTTATTTTTCTGAAGATAGTTTTATGTTTAGTTTCATTGCTAGAAAATCTTGAGCCTAAAAGGATTGCAGGAAGAAAACTGAATGCAGTATTTTATAAGTTACATAATATTTCCTCTGTGACGGGTTTCCACTCAGCTTGTTGTTTATGTTAAAGTCCCGCCGATGCCCAGGATGTTTGGTAATGGACCGACACAGCGGTGACTTGTGTGTAGAATAACAGGCCAGAGCGTGCGGCTCTGCCTGCTCCGTGTACAGTGAACGCATTTATTTCCAGTTTCACTTCCCCTCCATCCAACCATGAATAGCTCTGATTCAAACACTTTAGATACAAAACCTTGGCCCAACTCTAACTTTGGAAGATTGTGGACATTTCTTCGTGTATTAAAAAAAAAACTTCCTTCATGTATTTTTTTAATTGCTAATTTGCTTCTTTTTCAGAGAGCAGAACACAAGACTAGACCAACAAAACCAGTGGTAAGTCTCTAGTCCCCCTTGTAAAAATAAAACCCAACAAAGCTAAAAGGAAAAGAGAGAGCGACCTTCATGCATAAGAACCCTGACAGAGAACCAACTGTCGCTGCTTTTCTGGTCGTCCTCAGTAGCTCCACTGTGGTTCTCCACCCTGTTTGCTTCAGGGCTAACTGTGGAGTCATTTCTTAGGAACATACAGTAACTCCATTCGTGTTAAACAAGCCGCAGATTTGAAAAAGTCAGTCTGATGTGGCTCTTTACCTCCAGCATGTCGCCTCACCGTGTATCAGTCTAGCTGCTGCTGACTAGATTGGACCACCAGAGTCTCCCACGACAACAAGGAGTAACACCGTGGAGGAAGCTGTTCAGGTCACGATTAATGGATTATTTAAAGGGGTTTGTTACGAGTGCATCAGAAAGGCAGGTCCAGGTTTTTGTTTTTTGTGCAAAATGATGCATTTAAATTAAAGTGCTAGTTATCTCTGTTCCATCATTCACTGCTTTTCAAGTCAAAGGTTTAAATTAAAGAGCAAGTCAACCCCTACCAGAGTCTAACTCCACTCCCACTTCATGTTTGAAAAATGCAACACATGCTGTTGCCTGGCAGACCAAGAGGGCAGAGCCGCTAACAAATACACACACAGGCTCATGACAGCATTGTGACATCATAATGTACCAGTTTACATCATAGCATACTTCTTAGCCAATAGCGGTGGCAGATTTAAATTAGAATACAGTGCAGAGTTTTTACCTGACAACGGCACAACACTGCCAGTTTTAGGCAGAACATTTAAATTTTAACTAAGATGCACTGAAGTGCCAAATTATTGACGACACGTGTCTGCAGCACGATTAGACACTCGTTTATTTAGTTTATCAGCAAAAAAAAGTTTATTTGGGGGTGACTTGCTCTTTAAGGTCATCTTGTGTTAGAATTATATAGTAAAGTTCTAAAGACCCTCAGCTTCCAAAACCCCAACATCTTTAAAGTAAAGGTTTACCCCTCATGTCACTTAGCTGGCAGCCATCTGAAAATGAGCTTGGCTAACAAGTAGACACCTGTCCAGTAATTATTTTTGCTGGAGTTTCATTAAAATCGATCCAGTGGTTCGTGAGTCAGGCATCATCATCTAGTTCTCAGAAGTGTTGTGAATCACTCTCGGCTCTAAAATCCTAAATCTTGGATCAGAATTTGAAATACTGAGAGTCTCCATTTTTGTAATTGCCAATGTAGATTAACTGTGTCAGCCATCTTGACTCATACTGTCTCCAAGCGTTTATTGGACGTAGATGAACATCTAATGATTATATATATATATATATTTACGTTAATTTCATTAAAATCCATTCTGTGGTTGTTGAGATATGTGATTAGGGAACACACACACACCCATGCATGCATGCACACACACAAATACACACACACACACAAGCACGCACACACACCAGCAGGCAATAACATATTAAATGAATTTAAAAGGCAAAGCTCTGTCATCAGTGTTTACCAGTGATGGGTTACACTCAGATCGTGTTTTGTATGACAACAATGCTGCGCCCCTCCCACCATGATTCTAAAAGCATTCTAGTGATGTGTGTTTGTTCTCTCGCCAGCTGAAAGTAACTGACTACCATGTGAAGTGTTCAGTGGTGTCCCGCTACGCTGTCACCACAGTCCAGAGCTCAGTCTGGAACCAGCTCCCCGTCATTAAGGAGGCAGCATTTGAGGTGGACCTGCCATCCTCCTCATTCATCTCCAACTTCACCATGTAAGTCTGAGGTCCTCAACTGTTTGTGCCGTCAGTATGTGATCATTTGACTTCTGAAAGATACCATGAAAGAATGAAGACACCACACGTACTGGATTAGAACCAAAAGTTCTTAATCACACATGTTATTTAGAAATGACACTTATTGGTTTGAATACTTTAATATTTGATGTGGAGGTGGTGCATCATCTATTTACTAAAAGGATTTGCTACCACACTATTTAAAAATGCTAAATATAAACAAAACAAACAGTTCAGTACTGCTGGATTTTGATTTGGGAGCAGGAGCAGGTCAGGAGGGGAAACCTGAGGGCAGATGAATACCAGGCTTTGTGAATGGGAGTCAGAGAAAAAGATAAAAGTTTACCCAGTCCCCCTTTTCCCTCCACACAGTTTACTGAGGCAGTCTGCCAGCTTTCACACACACACACACACACACACACACACACACACACACACACACACACACACACACACACACACACACACACACACACACACACACACACACACACACACACACACACACACACACACACCTATACTGCTGTATACATGCAGCTTTGGATGTAGACTTTAGGATGTCTAACAAATGTGTAATTTTTTTAATTTTCAACAAATTTATGTTGTGGTGTGGTGGCATCAGCTGGCGTAGGCCAGACGATGCCTGCACTGTCCACTCACCACAGCCCCGAATACACCTCATCAACACTCACTAACACTGTATTGGAGCGGGCAGAGGGAGACTAGGGGTCTTAGCACACCTCTGTTGTCGCTTGGCTTCCCGGGGCTGGAGGCTAGGAGGGGGATCTGGCCGTCTGGCTGGGGTCTAGGGTGGTGTGTCGCTGTGCTCGGCGCTGGAGCCTGCTCATCAGCACCCCAGCAGAAAGGGTTGAACTCTGGGAACCGGTGATGGTTGTACCCTATGTGCAGCAGTACCGGGACCAGAGTGAATCAGAATCAGAATCAGAAAAAGCTTTATTGCCAGTGCTCCAGCGACCCAGAGCATAGGAACTTGACTCCGCAGCACAGCCTGACCAAAGTTACACACACACACATGTAGACAAAACAGATACAGGCAGACCACAAGAGCGACCATGAACAGCGCTCATTTCATTTAGATGAAAAGGGAATTACATGAGGATAAATTGAGGGAGAGGAAAAAGGCACACCAGAGTTACTCCTGGCAGGGCGTAGCTTTACTATGCAAAAAAAAAAAAAAAACGCCTCAAACAAATAAGCACGAACATCAACAGTTCACAACATGAGACTCCGATAGGAAGGCGGGGGGGGGGGGGGGGGGGGGGGGGGGGGGGGGGGCTGGGATCCTGTTTCCCCAGCCAGAGCAGCCCTGTATGGCGCTCAGCCACTATAGCCACAGGTGGGAGGGAGATCTTGGGAGGAGCGCAGAGCACATTGACACCTGCAGGTTGATGACCTCGCCAGGCTGAAGTCCACCAATCCGAAGGCGGGGGGTGGGGGGTGGGGGGGGTAGGACGGGTTTTCACAGCATGTCTGCATTCCTTCGTGGGGGTTTGTTGTTGGCATCACAAGGCTGCCATGGTGTCAGATTCGGATAACAAGACTTTGTTTGGGTCAGGCAGAGATAATTTTCCTCTCTGCCTTCAAGTCTGTAACTGATCATTCAAGTCCTCCAGTGAAGCCAATTTAGGTTTTAAACATCTCCACTCCGTCCGGTGACCCTCTCCGAGATGGCATCCATTTTGCGCACTAATACCGGTAATGCAGCTAGAATAGGGTGTGTATGGGGAGCATGAGTGGGTGTAGCGATAAATATAGATTTATATCTATATTTCAAATGTGGCGTAGATTTAGCTTGTTTATAATCTTCTATTAACTAATCGAGGCACCACCAGTTTCCGGAACTGGACCGTTGGATTTAATATCTACATCTTCGCAATGTAATCAGTCTCAGAGTTAACACCACACATTGATCTAAAGGATGAATTCTTGACAGAATGTGCCGATTATTCCCGAGAATTGCTAGACAATGATCGGGCGTTATTTACGTTTTGTGAATTTATTACACCAGTTAATACATAGACAAAAGGACCAAACACAGCTTATAGCTTCATGCATGGAATTAAGAAAACTGTTAACCCAAAGCTTTATGGCAGTGATAGGAAATAACTGATCCGTAATAAAAGTGGAAATTCTGTGACACCAGGGTTATAGAAAAATGAGGAATAATTTCTAAAGGGGGACAAAGTGAAATTTTCATGTGGGTTTAGGTGAAATGGGTGAGTGTGTGTGTGTGTGTGTGTGTGTGTGTGTGTGTGTGTGTGTGGATGCAAATGAGAGTTGGTGTGTGTGTGCGCATAAGGATTCGTTGCGGCAGAAAAAGAAGGTAAATCTTGAGAGCTAAACAGGAATTTGAATCGAAATAACACACACCATAAAAGCTTAAGTCTGAATTCACTAATCGGGCTTAGCAAAAAAAGTCAGCCAGATGAAAATGATTCACAGACCTTTCTTCTCGTCGCCAGAGGGTGGCCAAAGGGCTGAGGTAACCTTGAAGTCCTTGCTCATGAAGAGGTTACTGGGACAGTAAGATTTTGGCCCCGAGTTGGTCAACGGAGTCTGTTGAGTTCAGGAGAATCTTGTTCCGCGGGAATGACTGGACTTTAAGTTTTCTTCACTTCATCTGCACCAAAAATGTGGAATTCAGAGCGCAAGTCCAAATGATCAAAACCGATGCTGAATCAGAAAAACTGCCCCAAATTAGTTTTAACTCTTAATGTGAGAACTTCCGGTTTCACGTAGGAAGTCAAAACAAAACAAATGGAGTTGCGTCTAAGTTTTACCGTAACTTTTGAGAGCTAATTACTTGACAACTGTAAAGCGCCAGGTTATCTGTTGCTGGGCCCAGATGGAAAAGCCCAGCAGAGGTTCGCTTAAGGCATCTTTCTTCTTTTGTTCTTACTCTGCCAACACGAGGTTTGCACTGTGGCTTTATAACCTTCTTGGTCACACCCACATGTATTTCACTCATTAACCACTGGACACTGGATGGCACTGTGACTCTTTCAAATAAACTCTACCTTCTCAAAGATGGAAAGTCCATGATCACTATTTCACACAGTCATTCATATAAAGCCTCAAAAAGTATTACTTTAGCATCAAAGTATTACTTTAAACAGGAAAGAATAAAATTCATGTTTTAAAACTGAACAGTTTTACCATTAGCATGAATTTTAACTGGAGAAGCAAAAATTGGCAGATGTTTAACATAAAAAAACACAAAACAAGCAGTTAGGTTTGTAACTGATAAGATTTTAAACATATTCTTGGAACACCTTGAAATTTAATGGTGAACAACTTCTTTGATTGTAGATAAACAGGAATGCAAGGCTTATAAAGACTCAGGTCTTCAAGCTCCCAGGAGAATCTAAAAGAAGTTTTACGACTTCCCCTATCTTAAGAAAAGGGTCAGTCTGATTTTGATGTAAAACAGGCCAGTTTTCTGATATTACTTGCGCCTCCTGATTGGCGCAGAAGGGAGGCCAGTCAAATTGGTGCAATTTATGATCCTGGGAGAGAGTCGTAGGAGGTAACCAGAATGCTGAAACTGCGGGCCAATTTCAAATTCCCCTTTTTATTTTCTTCTGCTAAATGTGAGAGGAAAAACTTTGTGAAAATAGTTATATTCTCCTTCGTGTGAATCCAAAGTTAATCTGAGGATATAAAATGTGAATTTCCGCTACAGTGGGTGTATGGCGTGCATTTTTGTAAGCCTTAGGTTGTATGTGTATGTGTGAGCATGAGGGAGGGAGTGTGTGACTGTGTTTGTGTATGACTGTATATGTCAGGTGGGGCCTTTGACTCTTCCCCTCTCCTGGGACTTCTTTTGCTGCTATACATCTTTGCCTCCCCTCCCCCTGCCACACTTGGTGTGGAGTGTGGTGCCTTGGTCTGCCTGAGTGTTCGTGGCTCCCGGGTCAGGGGGTTTAAGATTTTTGGCGTCTGCCTGATTAATCCCAGTGATTGCCTGGTGGGGTCTGAGTCCCTGGGCTCTGTTGGGTCCCCAATGGGGGTGGTCACCCCTGGGTTCCGGGTCGCTGGGTTCTGGGTCGCTGGGTTACAGGCTCGGCCGGCTTGGTGGTGGGAGGCTGAGGGCGGGCCTGTGGGCTTGCCGCTGATATCTCCCGGGTCTCTGCCGGCTGCTGGTTGTGGCCCCCTGGAGCAATCCTCTGCGCCACTTGAGGGGGGCAGGGGCTTTTCTGGTTGCAGTCTCCTTGGGGTCCCTGTGCTCTGGGTCAGCTCCTGGATCTCTGAGACTTGGAGCTCCTTCCGTCTCCTACACATCTTTAGGGGGCAGATCTGTGGCCCCTCACACTCTCTATTGGACGCTCCTATAGAGAAACCTTACATAAATGAGCGCGTGTACACACACAGGTGCTCACATGGTGCTCTCATAAGTATGGAGTTGGGCATTTTCAACATGTCTTAAGGCTATGGTGGGCACTTAATGAACTGTGATTTATTATCATGTGATTGTTCAGTAAAACAACGTTGATTTAATATTTCCTCATCAGGTTGACGCAGTGAGAGCTTGCTCCTGATGTATTGTTGTGTGTCCCTTTTCTGCAGGTCTAGAAGCAGACTCTTGTTCATCATTGATTGTTTGTCTTTGTGGACCCCCCACCCCCCTCCTTCTTTTGTCTCTTCCTTTCTCTTTCACCTCTGACTCCGTGTCTGGTCAGAATTATAAAGCATCAAAAAACAATAACAATAAAGTTTTAAGTATCAGGCGTGACATTAATGCAGACGTTTTGACGCTCCACCTGAGAGTAAATCTGTAAGGCTTGTCACCAGCATTCAGACATCAATTCTGTTTGCTTCACAGCCAGACAGGACATGGGGGGGGGAAATAAATAAAAAAATAAAGGATTTTGTGGTAGCCTCGCTTCTGTCAGTGTGCCTTGGGACTGCTGTGGCTACGATGTTATTCTTCACCATCAATGTGTGAATGATTGTAATCCAAAGCACTTTGGAGTCCTTGACTTGGAAAAATGCTAACAGCTGATCCCAGTCAGCATGTTGGTGGAGGACTGATGGTTTGGGCTTTTTCTGCTTGTTCTCCAACAGTCATTAGGTCCATCACTGACTCCTTATAGTCCAAAACATTCCACAGATGAACGTGTAGAACTGTAGAAGTACAGCCAGAAGTGAGGGGGTTGCAGATTAAATATACTCATTGTGACCAGACCTGTCCCATGTCACTTTGGGGCCCGAAGCAGAAACTTCTTTAGAGGCCTCCATCATAAAACACCCATGATAAAATAATAAACCATCATAAAATTATTGTGATGGGGTGTTGCTGGTGGCTCGGTTACCTGACAGAAGGGTTTTACCGAGGCTGTTTTTCATCAGGAATAACACAACTGTCTGCATAACACCAAAGAGCCAGGGGGAGATAACTGCAGCCAACACACTGCATTAGTTCTCTGGCATTTCTGTGAAACTAAGACCTCTGTGTTCTGCGTGTAGGCCACTGGTGTTCAGTCACTTCCTTTGCCCCTCAGTCATGTGTAAATATGTGGCATCTCTACTTTCCACTCACATCTCTCAAGTTTTTCTACTCTGTCTTGAACAAGAGTCCTCTGTGGGTTTACTTTAGTTACACCTTCTTTTCATTTGGAAAGGACATGAACTTAAATTAGCACCTCCTTGTGTGACATCATTGATCGTCAACGTCTTGGAAGTACTCTGAATGCCTATTTCGGAGAAGTGGACTTGGTTGAGATCAAGCAGGGTGTAGCACCTAGAAGATTGACCAATAGGGTCCCTGTTTTCAGAGGGAAATTACCTTTTTTTTGAGTGGCAGGAACTCCATCTGTAAACAAACACAAGGCCCGTTTGTGAAGCAGCTTTGTGATTGCTCTGGAAATACAAGAGGTCAAATTAACCCTCTGAAGGCAGGCGTTGCCGATTTGCAACACTTAAAACCTACCTACCTGGTTATTCCAACATACGTGTTTCTTGAGCACTTTTTAACTCAGAAGTACCCCTGAAGGACTTAGCCGTTCGTCCTTTTATCAAAACTTATTTTGAACCTGAGAGGGTTAAAGTAGACCCACCTCCACGAGTCAAAGCAGTCCACAGAGTGTAATATAATCTGTCCACTGTAAGCCACACAGAGACCCATTTATTCCTCCTCTGTCCTCTGTCCCATAAGCACCTCTAATGGTAAGGTGTATGTGGCCCAGGTGAAAGAAAGAGCGGCAGCCAGAAAAATATATGACGCTGCAAAGAAGCAAGGAAAAACAGCCGGACTGGTCGCTACCAAGTGAGTACTTCTCTTACCTAATTCACTCCAGATGTTATTTTTATTCATGTCAAACGGATGCTTTTTGTCTTCTATGGTGTTCCAGAGAAAGAGAAATAGAAAAGTTTCGCGTGGCAGTGAGTGTGCCTTCGGGAACTCGAATGTCCTTCCTACTGTCGTACGAGGAGTTGTTACCTCGTCGCCTTGGACGCTACGAGCTCAGTTTGGGTCTGAGGCCAGGCCAGCTTGTGCAGAACCTCACGTTAGATGTCAGCATACATGAAAGGACGGGTATTAGTTTTGTCAAAGTACTTCCTCTCAAGACAAGTCGACTGCTGTCAGACTCTGCTCAAGGTAAAATCTGTGGGAGTGTGCTTCCAGAGTGAATCCCCCAGATGAACTATAACTGTTCTAGATGTTTTAATCAATACTTTGTTTTTCTTTCTGCAGCCAATACAAGTGTCCCTGCATCCACTCGTGTTGAGCAGAGTGCTTGCTGTGCAAGAGTTTACTACAGTCCAACTCTACAGCAGCAAAACAACATATCTCCTAATGGTCTCAATGCAGATTTCATTGTACAGTATGACGTTGACCTCAGCGAGCTCATGGGCGATGTCCAGGTCAGCAGTGTCTTCTGTTTCTGTGGTCATCTCTTTCTAAAGGAATGTCCTTTCAGCAACATGAATGTTTGACTTCTCACTCTGTAGGTGTACGACGGCTATTTCGTACATTACTTTGCACCCAGAGGACTTCCTGTGGTTCCCAAGGATGTTATATTTGTTATTGACGTCAGCGGTTCGATGATAGGAACCAAAATATTGCAGGTAGAGTGACAAGGCTAATGGCCCAGTGGTCTGAACAACTGTGGCTTGATAAGAATACTAAAATACACAGTTTTGAGGTTCAGTAATGCCTTTGATTTCTGTCAGTAGACCAAGCAGGCCATGAACACCATCCTTGGAGACCTTAGAGAAGGAGATCACTTCAACATCATCACCTTTTCAGATAAGGTTCACACTTGGAAGAGAGGACGCACAGTGCGAGCAACTCGACAGAATATACGAGAAGCTAAAGAATTTGTCAGAAGAATCATTGCTGAAGGATGTGAGTTGAAAACCAATGATTGGAAGTTTACGATTTTATTTTGTTAGTGTTTATCTTTCTAATCTGATTGTCTCCACTGTCTACATGTTTTATTAGGGACCAATATCAACGCAGCTCTGCTTTCAGCAGCACAGCTTGTTAATCCTTCATCGACTGGGTCCTCCAAACATTTTTCATCCCACCGAGTACCACTGGTGATTTTTCTGACAGATGGGGAAGCAACCACTGGAGAAACATCTGGTGACACCATCCTTAATAATGCCAAGAAGGCGCTGGGCTCAGCTTCCCTGTTTGGCCTTGCCTTTGGCGATGATGCAGACTTCCTTCTTCTGAAACGCCTGGCTCTGGAGAACAGAGGCGTAGCCAGGATGGTCTACGAGGATGCAGATGCAGTCTTACAACTGAAGGACTTTTATGATGAAGTAGCCAGCCCTTTGCTGTCAGACATCCAGTTGTCGTACCTAAATGATCAAGCTTTTGATGTAACCCGCTCCTTGTTTCCAAACTACTTCCAAGGATCTGAGCTAATTGTGGCAGGGAGATTAAAACCAGGGATTAGAGATTTAAAGGTGTCAGTGTCCGCGATCGACTCAAAGCAGCACATACAGTTAGAGAATGATGTGCTTGTTTCCCACACAAAGGGAAATAGGACCTCAGGTTTTCTAGACTGTCTGGAAGATCTGGAAGGGATCTCCAGCTTTGTGCATCGTCTCTGGGCATATTTTACCATTAAAGAACTGTTACTGGCCAAACTGAATGCTACCGACCCTGTGACTCAAAGGTTACTGACAGACAAAGCCACCAATCTCTCACTCAAATACAACTTTGTGACTCCAGTTACGTCTTTAGTTGTTGTCAAACCAGATCCAGATGAAGCAGGTCTAACTCCAACCACAGCAAAACCCACAACTACAGGCACAACGACCACAACACCACCAGTCGGGACGCCTGTCAAAACATCAATCACTGGTGTTGCCAAGAAACCCAGCTCCTCCTCTAACATCAGTCCTAACAAATCCAAACCAAGCCCACCTCAACCACCCTCAAAGACTCTAAAAACAAAAAAGAGCATGTTGCCATCTTCCACATCAAAAACATCGGCGATGCCTTCCAAGAAAATTACTGCAACCTCAAGTCCTGGTCCCATCAAACATGCCCCAGCGTCATTTTCCGGAAAACAGCCAGCTGACTCCCAAAACTGCTCAAAATCTGACGTTCCTCCATCATCAGGAAGGATTTCCACATCTCTGCTCAATGTTCTAAAAATAGCATCACCTCCAGCACCTGGAAAAATGCCCAATTCCATTCAGAATATGATGACAACAACCACCCTCTCAACAAGTGTGCTAACATTCAGCACCAGCTCTCCGCCACTACTTAACTCAACCAGAACTCACCCAGCTGCTCTACCTGACAGGGCATCAGTCCAACACATCAGTCCTGTGAGGACAGCTCTACCGACAGGACTGTCCCCAGAGGCAGATAACATCACTACTGCAGCTCCACATCTTCATCAGCCTGAGACCACTTCTATCCCAGCCAAGCTGCCATCTGTACTCACCTCCCCCACCACCGCTGCAGCTCCAGCTGTGGTGAATACAAACAACACCAACTCCAATGCTGACATTGACCTGGGCATTGCCACCTTTGTGTCAGGCACCTTTGCTCCCATGCCTGGTTTGACTGATGAGGCTGGATTCTGGGAAGCGGCGGGGCTTCAGGGTAAATCACAACGCATTCAACTCTTTGGATCTGGTGCTTCTTGGTCTACTTGTGTTCATTTCATGTGGCCTGTAGTCATCCTACTTACATGAATATATACTCTGGTCCTGACCCGTAGACAGATCTCAGTCAGGATGTGGAATCTACAGTTGTCTTTCAAACTGTCTCTGCATGCTATTGAACAACGAACTATGTTACATACTCACCGCTATGGATGTCAGTCAAAGAGCTGGTCCACCATACACTGTTAACTCATTCACTGCCAGCCGTTTCCTGATCGCTAACGGCCTTCGCTGCCAGCGTTTCTCACCGTTTTTACTGTTTTTTAAGAGTCACCGAACGTTGCGCGCTAGCATGATGTCGACGCCAAAACAACCAAAACAAAGAGGAGACTCACCTCTTACATCAGGAAGAAGCCGCGTGTTTCGAGCGTTATCCGTTCTTTCATAATCCGTTGTTGAATTGTGATCGGCAGACACTTTTCCGGTTCGCGCCTCTTTTTTTTTTTTACAGGAACGGCCCAAAACGATCTCCAAACACGTGGATGTGTTGCTTCCTGATCATGTGATCTGTGACGTATGCGGATGAAGATCGGCTTCAGGGCTGAGATGTTGGTTCTCTCAGCGCGGGGGCTCGTTCCGATGGTCAAACAGTAAAAAAAATGCAGTGAATGAGTTAAAGAACACACAAATACACCCTTTTTAAAAATAAAGGACTTAAATACATCTATCTGCTCTTGCCTCAAAGAAAAGCCCAAGTCTAAAAAGTCCAAAGTTGATGCAAAAAGACGTTTCAAACCAGCCGTCGCCATCTTACTTGTTCTGCTCAGTTGCATCATCCTGCCGAGTTCTGTGATTGGACCACCAAACCGACAGAGCGCTGTAATTGGCATAACACAAAACCACTCAGGCCAATGGTAGACCTGCTGAGGCTACAATGGAGTGTGGCTAGACCAACCTGCAGAGATTTCTAAGCCCTTTTAAAATCAAATGGTTGGGCTTTAGGCCTGCTCTTTCAGTCCATCTCTTAACATTCACGTTGGTTCACACAAACAGTATTTTATAAACTCTTACACAGCGGTCAGTTTCACGCACGACATGAACAGATGCAGACATCAGCATCAGCCAAATCCTATACTTCTGCTGCATCAATGGGTTGAGTCTGCTGAAATAAACAAACATATGAAATTTAACGCAAAGTTACAGTTTATAAAATTAAATTCTGAATAAATGATAATATACTTCTGGTTACTTAGAAGCTATCTTCTAACTATCATTCGGCACTTTTCCACTGAAGCAGTTTAAAACGGACATGCAATATATGCTTATGGATTAAAAACTCTAACAACTCTAACAACTTCTCTAACTGAATTCTTTGTTTTCTTCCTCAGATTTTTCTACTTCGCTTCACATTCAGAGAAAAGGTGAGTCACTTTTTCTTAACACGTCTCTCTCATTGGGCTTTGAGAGTCCAGTGCAGATTTTCAAAGTAATAAGCAACAATTTAGAGATTGAACCTTTGTCATGGGGCCACTTGTCTAATCAACTAATGGACCAGTTTACATTATTATTGAACTTGATCATCTTTTCCTCTTCTTTCCTGCTCAACAGACAGTGATCTTGCAAAAGGTGATCGACATTTTCTAACTTTTCCCAAGTCATGTGAACGACTTCATTTTTATCTCATTACTTTTATTTTCCAGATTATGATGCAACATATGACTATGATGATTACAACCTCGGCTATGTTACCTGTACGTTTCTTTGATTTGTAAAAATTTTCAGCTTTTCGAGCTTGAAGGTTTTCCTGTTAAATGTGTGTTTTACATTTTCAGTGGAGGACACGGAGGACAGTCAGTCATTTGGTGAGTATCTCAAAGGTTTGTAAATATTAAACAGTTGTGCTCCTACAGGTTAAACTAAAAAATAAGAATATGGTGCAAAAGTTCATGTATGTCAGTAATTCAACTTCAAAGATGAAACTAATATATTACAGATAGACTCATACAAGCAAAGCCGGATATTTCTGCATTTATTTATTATAATTGTGATGATTATGGCTTACAGCTGATGAAAACCCCCACATTCAAAATCTCAGACAATGAGAGTATTTAGAAAATGTTGAATACTCCAGACTCAAAGTGTCACACTCTAACCAGCCAATGAACGCAGAACACCTGCAAATGGTTCCTGAGCCTGGTCCTCGAGGGCTACCATCCTGCACACGTTAGCTGTTTCTCTGCTCCCACACATCTGATTGAAATGAATGAGTAGTTAACAGGTTTATGCAGAGTTAGTGAGTTACTCCGTTCAGGTGTGGTAGAGCAGGAAATACAGAAAACTAGCAGGATGGTACCCCTCGAGGACTGGAGTTGGTGACATCTGCTTTAGATGGTCTCTCAGTCTAAGCTGGATTACTGACATAAATGGACTTTTGCGCCATAATCTCATTTTTTGTTTCACCTGTATATTTCTCTAGTCTTGTTGGTTTTGGTTCTTGGGAGACTGGAGGACTGTCGTTTACCTACATGTCTTGTGCTTTTAGAACCTCCAACCAGACTGAGCTCTGTGAGGATCTTCTCTTCATCAGGTCAGGATTCTTCCAACTGGTTTGTTTGTATCTCTTCCATTATGCATGTTCTGCAGTTTGTTCTTGTGTTTATATCTAGTCTCACTGTTGTTCGTTGTAGTTGACGGAGATCCTCATTTTGTGGTCCAACTTCCAAAACTGCACGAGAATCTGTGCTTCACCGTTGATGGCAGAGCGGCCGATGTTCTCAGGTTATTAGAGGACCCAGAGCAAGGTATGCAAAACAGTAATATTAATTATTTATTTTGTTTAACATCTATTTTTAAATTCTTTTGTGTTCTTTTGAAGGTTTAATTGTAGATGGCCATCTGATGGGAGCTCCTTCAAAGCACGGATCAGAAAGCCGTTCTCGAACCTACTTCGACCAGCTCATCATTTCGTCACCCACGGGCAGTTCTGGTGACATCATGATCACAGTGTCACTGGAGGCTGTGGTGGTAGAAGGGGAAGGACGCGAAATTCTGCCCACCAATCGGCAGGGATCAGTGAGAAGGCAGGGGGTGACCATCACCGTTGACAATCATCAGAGCTGCTGGATCCAGTTGGCAAAGGGTGTGAGGTTCCTGGTTTTGTTCCACCACTACAAACACCCCGACTACCTGCAGATGGCCCACCTGGGTTTTTACATCATAGATGGAGAAGGGCTTTCAGAGACAACTCAAGGCCTTCTGGGTAAGCAACCATAACATTTTCAATGTCATCAAAGCCCCGCTGGCCACCCAAACCAGTAACTCACTGGCTGCAGCTGAGAATGTCAGATTGGTGGATGCAACACTTTTGTGAAGTGCAGTTTTGTGATGGTTTCTTATTCATGGTGAGAATAAAATGGTTTCCCAACGTCTGCTACTGCAGACTACTTCTAGAGGAAGCGTATATTGCACATTTTTGATTGGTTCAAAATTAGAGCGACTTGCTGGAGCTTCCAAGTGATTTGAAACATGCCGACTTTTAGGAAACTGAATACCATTCACCTGAACTGACCTGATGTTTGAAGTTAGTCGCACTAGTTTCCCTCCAAAACAAGTTTGTTTTCACAAGATAAAGAGATGTAATCTAAATAAAATGTTTCCTACGATCTTAAGTGGGTGGATCGGATTGGACCAATTTACGCACATGAAATGTTTTTGAATTATTTGACTTAAAAAAAGTATTTTAACAAACTCTTAGTTAAAAACATAGTTAAGAAAGATGCTAGACAATATGCATTCCTCCAATAAATGATCGACATTTAATTAGCATGGCATCACGCTTTCTCAGGTGATCAGGATGTTTGATTTTTTTTTCAATCTTACCAGGACATGGTTGTGTTTTCACCCAACCAGTTACTTTTGTTGTCCACTAGCCAAGCAGGAAGTACAAAAAGTAAACAGCATTAGAAATCTAGTGTTCGTGTAAAGTTGTCTAATTGTCATACACCAGATTATAGTTTGAGACGTTTCTTTCTCATAGCGCTGCAGCTGCTGAGGCAGAGCAGACGAGTGAGGAATGCCATTTTTCTGCTGGTTACACTGGTTTTAAACCATTCACTGAGCTTGTAATGGAAGAGTGCAAAAGGTGCATCTCTAGAAGTTCCCAAAAGTGGCATGCAATCAAGGATCTACAATGACCTACATTGTTCAGTGAGTCAGATTAAATCACTGATGCTCTTTGTCTGCCTACAGGCCAGTTTCAGTACGCTGACATGATTGTGGTGAAGAATCCTCCTGACAGAGGAGCTCACAGGCTCAGGGAGGACATCATAGCAAGAGGAATCCTGACATGGGGATCAGAGCAGATGGCCGTAACGCTGCAGGACAAGGCACTGAAAGACTCGTTGCAAAAGCGCCACCTGGGCAGATGTTGGGTGGTGCCCAAGGCAGAGGTCGAGAGACTGCTGGGTCATTCCTATGAGAGCTATGTAGTGAATCGCGTGTAGCGGATTCTGTCCCACCCTGGTGTCTCTCCTCAGTACAGCTCAGGTCGCAGCAGTTTATCAGTTATAGAAGAATGAAGCTGAACGGGGACTCCTCTGAGCTACAAGGACACATCCCGGTCAGAGACACGGTTCTAAAACAAGAAGAAAGGGTGTGATGGGCTGGAGTCTGCAGAGAAACAGGAAGTTAAAGGAATACTGAAGATGCTCCAATAAAGGACTGAATGGTGCCTTCGTGACATCTGGACTTCTCTGTATGATGGTGTTTTGGAGCCTGTCAGAAGGGAAAATTAGCTAACGCCCATGTCCAGATGGCATTTTAAATGAAAATGTCCAAAGTAGGCCTGAACGTGTTATTATTCCCCGTTTTTTATTATAGCTGAGAGTTCTGCATTATCACTGGGTAAACAGCCTAATCCTAACCCAGAACTTCCTTTAACCTTTCATATTAAGTCTCAAACACACACACACACACACACACACACGGGTTCTTCAAAACACACAGAAATCAGCTGAAGCTCATAAACAGTTTATTGTTATTCTCCAGTGAAAGTCTTGACGCAGTTTTAAAGAAGTCCGTTCAGCTCCAGAGCGCGACTGTGCTGGAAGATTTTCATCAATACTGAACCATAAAATATGGTTCATTGACACAAGGCGTTGTGGGTGTTGTAGCGCTCGTGACGATTTAGTTTGATTCCTTTTCCTTTAAAGCATGAAATATGAAAACATCTAGTTTAAAATATGGAATTATTTATTGTGTAATGTTAATAATAATCAGCTTAATTTCATTACACATTTACTTACAATATAATTAGCCATTGCCACCCAGAGCCCCTCCACCAGAGGGCAGTAAACATGTCGAGGCAGGTTTAGGATGAAGGTACTAATCCTGATACACCATCAGGATGCTTTAACGCCATAAGGGGTTTGATGCTCATTTGTGACAATATTCTCAGGGTTTAACTCAAAAGTATTCTTGCATTTCTACATGTAAATACTGGAAAAATGACTTTATTATTGACATTTTCTATCAACCCTGACCTATTTCTGGAAACTTCTCAGAATTCCCTGACTATTTTAACCTTACAGTGAACTCTTGGTTATGATTGCCTCATTTTTATTCTGCATGTTATTCTATGCAGGATTTTGAGCTTCCTTACAAACCATCTCTGTTATTTTATCAGAAAAATCTTCTATTTCATTCTGAGGTCATTTATTATGTTTCCCCATCATAATAATGGGTAATTATTAAATCCTTGGTCACTCTGTGAGCTGCACGTTTGAGTTCAAGTGTGTCTAAATCATAAAAGTGTGTATAAAGTAAAAGTGTTTTCCATTAGATGCGTTCTTAAAAACACACACAAGTCAGTCTCTTCAGGTTTGTCATGTGCTTGTTTATTTTCTATCATTTCATTCATATTTTAATTGTTACACAAGACGTTAGGCATTGTTCACATACTAGTGATCAAACAAGGACAGTTAAAGTTTTCTACTACTCAGCCTGGACTATGTCTTTTGTCATTTTGAAGGGGTGTCGTCGATGGTGCTTTCAAAGGCCATACTGGATGAAAATTAAACAGTAGAACCGCACACGAGGCTTTTGTTTTCAGTGATTAAAAAAAGGAGAGGACAGCATCGGATGAAGGGTTTCAAAGAAATCTAGGATCTGGAAAGTAAACAATATTCCAGTTTTCATTGGGAGACAGTGTTTCCTGGATGATCGAGCGCGATGTTTAGTTCCACTGCTGCTCATAACCTTCAGCGAAAACCTGCGTCTGAAAGTTTAAATCGTGGAACGACGGCAGAATGTGGCAAACCAAACACGTGACACAGCAAATAAACAACAACGTCGTCCGGATGTGCATCAATTTTAAAATCCATTTCTTCATTTGACAATAAAACTAACAGCGTGGCAAATTCAGCATTTGACGTAAACCTTTTAACGTTGCGTCAGCGCTAAATTAAATAAATAGATCATAGGGATAAGACACAGCAACGCCCCAAACATGACACACGTTTGTTTAGAGCTCCTGAAAGATCCATCACGGCGGGAAAAAGTGAGATGAAGCTGCTTCTAAAGCCAACAATAGCAGTAACTGGTCTGTTTTCCTCTTAAGCTGTAAGGTGTGCTGCAGAGAAAAGATGCATGGTCTCCACTCAGATGTATAACAACACCCCGGCTGTGGTAGAAAATACCCCCTGCTCCGCACACACAGCAGGGGTTCACTTTTAATGCTGTCAGCAAGCTCTGCCAAGAACAGAAACGCCGTTTTTGGCACAAGACTGACTTGTTAGTTAAAACGAAGCAACGCTTTTCTTTAGAAGCCGAAATGTCAACTAAATAGAGCCCGAATGAAGGTTCGAACCACATAAAAGCATGTTTTTAGCTGCGAAAGGGAACGTGGTTTCATTTATTAGCTAGGCGACCCAGTCCTTGAATTAGGGGAGTTTCTAACTTCTCCTTCTGCTTCACACCTACGAGGATTAGGTCCCATGAGCAATGCCACGCATTACTCAACAAACATACTACACCAAACACGAGGGCTCAGACATCCAAGACGCAGTCTGGAGGTTTCACTGTGAGCTGAAATTTCAGTCTTCATCCTTGTTCCATACGAAAAAAAAACCTCAACATTCCTCACGCGCGTTCCTTCCCCCAGGCGACACTCCCGTCGGTTAGTTCACGTGTTCTAGTGGGCTTCACAGGAAGCCTCACCCGACCTGACGCCCGCCCGCTCTGCCCCCCTTCTGCTCCCCACGCTCCCGTTTCTAAGCCACGCTAGAAGACCACAGTTTCAAATAGCTGCTCTGTAAACTTCATAACTTCAGCCAGCGAAACCCGTCACATAGAAATAAAACTCTTCAATAATTTAACAAGTTAGAAAGTAAACTATTCAGTTTCAAAACTGACATTACACAACTGAGAGAAACAAAAGAAACTAGTGTTTTTATTCTTTTTTTGTTTGTTTTTTGAGTGTGTGTGTGTGTGTGTGTGACAGGTAATAGCCACTGGTTAGCTTGCCTGCTAGCACGGGGAACACGACAGCATTGCAAAGTGAGTGCTATCAGCTGACAGAGCAGCTCGTTTACGAGTCACCTTAGATTACAGATATTTGCCAAAATGAGCAGAGTCTACTAAAGTAACGCAGGTAAAAGCCCACGTGAGAGAGGTGAAGGCAGGGCTGACGGGGGTGGTGTGTGTGGAATGATCCAGCCTTTTCAGTCTATGTACAACTCTACCACGTCTAGGAATGCTTGCATGCCGACTGAAGGCGTTCCCTTGGGATGACTCTACCCCACAGAGCTCAGACTCATCAACGCCATCAGCTGATCTCTGACGGGGAACGACATGATGAAGGGAATGAAATGCTCAGAAATCCGTAACAAGTAATAAAATCACCTCTAAAGCTAAATACATGATTATACTGCTGAGTCTACGATGGAATGAAACTGCATGTCAACCCTGCTTTGCTGCGACGGAAAGGGAGTGTTTGAAATGTGTGTGTTTGTGAATGTTCCAGTGTGTAGAGAGAAAGAGAGAGAGAGAGAGAGACAAAGGTAAACAGAGGCTTCACACCAACCACAGCAAACCCAGGAAGCCATGGCTCCTCATCGCCTCAGTTACCTTGTCTGACTCCGCCTTCCTCCCTTAGAAGCCCCTCCGACCGTGCCCCCCCCCCCCCCTCCCTCTCACTGCTCATCCTCCCCAAACACGTCGTTCTGTTTGCGTTTCATGTTCTCAAAGTCAAAGTCGGTGCCGGTCATACGTTTGTAGATGTCCTTGATGTCGTTGCAGGTGGTTTCAAAGTGAGTCGTGGCGTCGTAGGACCTGGAGGCAAAGACCTGACGGAGAGAGGGGCGGGGCGGAGAATCTCACTGCTCTGTGGGCTCAGGTGGTACTCAAGAGTTCAAGGCTCTAACATTCACTCACACTGAGAGCTGGGATTTAAAATCAGAAACTTGGAGCCACAAAGAACTAAGTCGAATTATCAGTTAAGTATTAACTCATTCACTGCCATTGACGACTAAAGTCGTCATTAGCATTTTTTTACTTTTTGAGCATCAGAACGAGCCCCCACGCTGAGAGAACCAACATCTCAGCCCTGAAGCCGATCTTCATCCGCATACGTCACAGATCACGTGATCAGGAAGCAGACCATCCATGTGTTTGGAGATCGTTTTGGGCCGTTCCTGTAAAAAAAAAGTGAGGCGCGAACCGGAAAAGCGTCTGCCGATCACAATTCGACAACGGATTATGAAAGAACGGATAACGCTCAAAACACACGGCTTCTTCCTGATGTAAGAGGTGAGTCTCCTCTTTGTTTTGGTTGTTTTGGCGTCGACATCATGCTAGCACGCAACGTTCTGTGACTCTTAAAGAAACAGTAAAAACGGTGAGAAACGCTGGCAGCGAATGAGTTAAAATGATCTAAACCAATAACATCTGTGGAGGATTTCCCAGGTGTAAAGACACTACTGTCCTGCATCTCATATTTGATATGAATAGTGCATCATGGGAAAATATGTATTCTAGTTTCACTTTTATAAAAGTCATCTCACCTGGCTCTCGGTACCGTCATCTGTGGGTTCGTAGAGGTCACTAATGGCCACGAACCTGCAGAAACAAATATGAGAATTAGATCTGCTATTTCAGATATGATGAATAACAAGCATGTTGGGTTGAACAGCCTGCAGATGTTATGTTTTAGAGAGCAGAAGAATCCGACGCTGACTTTTGGTCAATGGGCTCCAGCAGCTCCAGAGCCGGCTCAATCTCGGTCTCGGGTTCAGCGGTCTCCACTGTGGTGCTGACGATGGCGATGTACTTGCCCTGGGCCGCCACGTTGTGGGCGTAGGAGATCATGCACACATAGATGTCTGGAGAATCAGCCAAGAAGCAGAAAACAAGAGTTCAATCAGAGTCATATCATGCAGATTCATGATGACTCGTAAAATCTGAGAAACAACTAAAACAAACTGCCAAAAGGCAGAAACTGGATAGAATTAAAGAACTACGGTGATGACATCATATTTTTATGAATAGATTATATAGTTTATTTCCTCTAACTAATAGAATAAGTCAATTAACAAAAATAACCTTGTTAACACTTATTTCACTTTTGATTTTTTACACTCTGACTTTTTGTAAGTAAGTAAGTAAAAGTGTATTTATATTGCGCCTTTCACAGATATAAATCACAAAGCGCTGTACAACATGATAAAGATCAGGGCAAATACCTCTAACCAATAAAAACATCAGAAAAACAATAGCAGTGATAAACGTAGAAAATTAGATCATGAGTATAAACAAAGTGAAGGTGTGAACCCGAACAAAGCCATCATTTAGAACATTTAGGGAGGGAACGCCTGGATGAAAAGGTGAGTTTTTAGATGATTTTTAAATACCTCTACAGTGTTAGAGAGACAAGAGATTTGAAGGTAGACTGTTCCAAAGTCTGGCTGCAATAGTCTGAAAGGCCCTGTCCCCTTTGGTTTTCAGTCTGGTTCGAGGAACAGCCAGGAGGTTTTCAGATGTGGATCTAAGGTTCCGAGAGGTGGTGTGTGGGGATAAAAGCTCAGATAGGTAGCTTGGAGCCTGGTTATTAAGAGCTCTATAGGTCAGGACTAAAACTTTAAACTGTATTCTATATTCTACCGGGAGCCAGTGGAGGGACTGTAAACCTGGAGCGATGTGAGCTCGTCTGCTGGATTTGGTTAGGAGTCTGGCTGCTGCATTTTGGATGGCCTGAAGGCGTGAGAGGGAGGTTTTGCTGAGACCAGTAAAAAGAGCGTTACAGTAGTCTAAGCGTGATGACACAAAGGCATGGATGATTTTTTTCCAGATCTGCAGTAGAAACCAGTTTACGGACTTTTGAAATGTTTCTCAGTTGAAAGAAACAAGAGCGGGAGATGGTTTTGACGTGTGAGTCTAAACTTAAAGCTGGATCAAAAATAACTCCTAGGTTTCTAATGTTGGCCTTGGCTGATGGGCAAAAAGACGCCATTTCTTGCTCGATTTTTGGCTGAAGTTCCGGGGGTGCAGCGATCAGGGTCTCTGTCTTGTTAGCATTGAGGACAAGAAAGTTGCTGGACAGCCAGTTACTGATCTGGGTCAGGCAGAGTACAAGTGTGGCCAGCCTGTCCAACTGGTGTGGCATAAAGGACATATAGAGCTGAATATCATCAGCGTAGATGTGGTAGGAGATGTCTGGGAAAGACTGTAACAGCTGAGGCCAAGTAGACAGTTGGAAATGACTTTTTATTCTCAGAGAACCTCATTTTCTGAACAAGCTCAGCTGTATAGCCATCCATCTGCCGCCGCCTGTTTAACTACTGATGAATGTAGCTGCCATGTATAAAATATACAAAACCTGTAATACACACATGTTGAGTCCTTCAGTTAAAGATAGACTCAGTGAGTGCAAAGGCAGATATTTCAAGTCTTTATTTGTTATGCGTGAGATAATTCTGGATGACAGCCCAAATTCTAGATCGTAGACAATTAGATGGTTGCTTTAAAAAACAAGAGGACACAAAATGTCCGTAAAAGTCACGTAGGATTGAAAAGGCAGCGAGACTTTATGGAAAAGTAACAAATTACGAATGTTAAACCTTTAAAGTTAAACATCAATGGAAAACAAAACTAATGGTTAATAATTAAATCAAACAATTTACCTTATGATAATATCGAGGATTTTTACAAACATGACTCAATCAAATTCAGGCACTTTCAAGATTTTGCAGCACCTTCTGCTGGCCATGACGCCGAAAGAGTCAGCATCACGAAAGCGTTTTCTGAATGGCGAGAGCTCAAAATTCGAACTGGATGCAGACCCGGCGACCACGCTCTTGCATTTGTTCACGTTTCGTTAGTGCACGTTTCCCAGTGTTCTTAAACACGGCACGCAGCGATAGTCTCACCGAAATCAGAAAAAGTATGTAACTGCACTTCATCATATATCCATTTGTAATACACGACAGGTGTGAAGGGAGACAGAGGCCATGCACACGTGTAGCTGGGTGTTTGAAAGTCAGAAAATCCTCCCTCGCCCTTTTAGGGAAAAAACCCTGGGTCGTAAAAATCCAGTGCATTGTGTAGCATTATGTTTACAGTGATCCCTCGCTACTTCGCGGTTCGTTTATCGCGGATTCACGACTTCGCAGATTTTTTCTTTGGAGCCTTATTCAAGGGAAATTCGCCGATTCGCGGTATTTTTCACCGATTTGCGGTATTTTTCTATGCGAAATATCAAGAAATTCCTGTTTTTTTTTCATCAATTTCATCATAAAATGCACGTTTTGTAATAAAACTATAAAAAAAACCAGTAAAAATGTTTTTTTCTTGAGTTTTACCCACAAAAAGAGAATGTGATCATACGATAATTCAGTATAGTACTGTATGTCAGACTGGTCGGCTGGATTCGGGAGTTGAGCTTGTAGGGAGCGTGGTTTCACAGACGCAGAAGTGAGAGCGTCGGTGAAACGCCGGCTCACGATGAATCTAGGAAACCCCCGAGCGTTCGAGCGTCAACGAAGTGACACGGAAATGCCGGGCTTTCCAGAAGTAAGTAAGATAACTTACTATGAGCTGATAGTTCGTGGGATTGATCGGTAGGTTGGAAACTCTGATCATGAATCTGAAGAAACGATGACTGAGTGGTGAGCTGGAAAGGCGACTTCCGTTTATAGCCGCCGTTTGTGACGTAGGTGCGACGTGGAGGGAATCCCAGCGAGGGGCATTCTGGGAGTTGTGGTCCATAGTGGAGGCCGGCTAGCTGGAAGAGGCTGGCCTGGGAACTTGGGTTCTGACACTGTACTGTAAATATGGTGTCCCTACTTCGCGGATTTTCACCTATCGCGGCCAGGTCTGGAACGCATCTACCGCGATAAACGAGGGTTCACTGTATGTTTATTTACTTGGCAGACGCTTTTATCCAAAGCGACTTACAATTTATAACCTATAGGGCATGTTGTGATCTGTGGGGGAAACCGGAGTACCCGGAGGAAACCCACGCATGCACGGGGAGAACACGCAACTCCACGCAGAGAGGCCGCAGCCGAGTTTCGAACCTGCGACCTTCTTGCTGCGAGGCAACCGTGCTAACCACTGCGCCACCATGCAGCCTTACGTGTACCAAGTAGGTGTTGGCGACAGTAGTTCCCCAAATGGTCGTTATATTTGCTGAAAACTCCTCCTTGGACGTGAAATAACTAGGTGGTGGGCGAGAACCTTCCCTAAAGTCCTCCTTCGCCTGTGGTCTTCTACATAGAGCAGCACTTTTAAACACAAGCAAGCAAATGTCAACGCAAGTCGCACATCAGAGCATTGGCGTCTCAGGCAGTGACATTGCAAAACCTAAAACCCAATCATCTACGCTCATGAGTGAATGCTGACATCAGAGAATTTGAAAATCTTCACTTTGGCTGGAAGTTTTAGAAAAAAACAAAAAAAAGGTTTTTAGTGGCAAACATCTTGATTTTTGTGTGGATGGTGGCCAAACCGTAGACAAATCGCTGTTTGTCTACCAGGTCATGTGTGTACAGGGTCCTATAGTTGATTTTAGTAGAAACTTGAGTCTAACAGTAACGAGATGCTTTGGTTCACCAGCAAACAAATAGAGAAATATGTATTTCTCACCTGTGCCAGCAGAAGTCACATGTTTGTAACCAGTTTTATCCGTCCAACTTTAATCATTCACTTTTTTCCCATTTGGAAGTTAAAGGTGTTGACGATGCGCACCTGAGTTACGGTTGACCTGATTCTGAGGAATGATGATCTGACAGGAGTTGGCGTCATTGGTGTTTTTTATGGGGTGGCTGAGGATGCAGATGACACGGATCACCTGACCCGCCTTACGGACACGATCCGAGATGTAGCTGGGGTCGCAGATGAGCTGCTTGCAGCGAGCCACCTGCAGACGAAAGGAGACCATGTGGATCACAGCCTTTAGAGGACGACTTTTTCTCCAATCAAACTTTTTTTTAAGCTGGAAGTTTGCCACAACCAGAGCTGGGCGACAATATGATGGCAATATGCATCTCAAAGAGTTTTCCTCAATAAAATATCAGAACTGGCAGATGTAAACATTCAATATACAGAACATAATAACAGCCTGTAATAAGAGTTGCTCAGCGTCGGACCAATCATGTGGCTGGAGCCAGACTGCACAGTAGCAGCAGATGCTCCAACGTAAACTGAATTTATCTTTCAATGCCTATTTTATTTATTTGACATCAACAGAAGATTATTTTCCTTTTCGTTCTGTTCTCCTGTAATCCTTGAAGGATTTAGCTTAAAACAGACCCGTTTGGTTTGTCCAAAACACCTGTGTAATGTCTGATGACACGTTCGGCTTCTGTAAATAAACGCCTAAATCAGATATAACCTGACATCTTCAAATCTCACTCCAAAGTACCAGGAAACAGAGAAGATTACTTTATTTTCTCTCTAAGTGTTTTTCTCCCCAGAAGAAGCTACAATGACGTTCTGCTGAGCTGTGGTGGCCTCATGGAGGGGGCCATCGTCTAGCACACTGCTGCTAACCACTTAAACATTCTCTCTCTCCTTATAATAACTTTTTACTTTCCTTGACGTTGGATGTGCTACTACTAGTTTACCTGTTTAATTATAGATCCACTAGGATAAATACAATAAAGTTTATCTCACACCAAATAGAATATTTACTAAGAAATCACAATGTAACCTGTGTGTGTGTGTGTGTGTGTGTGTGTGTGTGTGTGTGTGTGTGTGTGTGTGTGTGTGTGCTCTGTCTTCTCCATCCCCAGTGAGTCGTGGAGGATGGCTGCTTAAGGTTGGTTTATGCTTGACACGTCCGCGAGGTCCGCACGGCTCCGTGCGGAAAAGTTGCGTCATTTTGCGTCATTTTAACAACCACGCCCCTCCGCCGCGCCTCCGCACGGCCCAGAATTTCCGCACTGCGCACCTAGGAAATTTTCTAACCACGCGGACGGACGGACGCGGAAAAACATGGCGGACCGGCAAGAACTAGTATGGCAGAGGTTCGTAAATACAGACATTTGTATGATTCAGCTCTCAGAGATCACCGTGATCAACATGTTGTTAATAATTCTTGGAGAGAAATAGCTCGCACTGTCGGAAAAGACAAGGACGCTGTTAAAAATGCTGGAATGCCATGTTGTAAACAACAGTGAATTTTACTTCTATTATGGTGTAGTGTTGGATGCATGCTGTAGAGCTCCATGCTGCCCCCTACAGTTTGGGAGAATATTGGCTCACCGCAGAGACGAGCCGCACGAATCATAAACGCTGCAAGTTGTGAAGCGCGTTCCATCCGCGAGCCGCATCACCAAGCGGAAAGTGAATGCGTCAAGCATAAACCAAGCTTCATACTGAGCCAGAATCCTCTGGAGGTTTCTTCCTGTTAAAAGGGAGTTTTCCTCTCCACTGTCGCTGCATGCTTGCTTAGTATGAGGATTGCTGTAAAGACTCTGACACTAGTCAGTGACTCGATGCGACCTGCTGGGTTCCTTACATAGGAAACTTTTTTCTGATTGGCTTAATGAACTGACCTGTATTGGAATGTTTACTGTGTGAAGTGCCTTGAGACGACTCTTATCGTGATTTGGTGCTTTATAAATAAACTTGGAATTGAAAAAAAAATTGAATTGAATTGATTAACAAAATTAATGTTTTGGCTTTTATTGTGATATATCGATATTTACTGATATGAAAATTAGTATTGTGATATAAATCTTTTCCATAGCTGCAACTGTGTCAGCGTTGCATTTATTTTAAACGGTAAAGCAGCACGGTCTTACCTCGCCCTCGGACTTGACTCCAACCACTTTCCCACCCTCCATCACGATCTCATCCACTGGCTTGTTCAGCATGTACGTTCCTCCGTAGATTGCACTCAACCTAAAAGTGAATAGGACCTGCTCTATCACAAAGGATTTTTGAGTTTATGTATTCACCTTTAAATAAAATATCCTGATGAACTGAACAGAAAACCTGGCAAATCCCTGCGGAAGTTCTCCCAAACCATAGAGGGGGTACAGGTAGGGGCTCTTGCCATAACGTGCCAGGGATTCACTGTACAGTTTGATGCGGTTGATCGTTTCCAAACAGGGAACATCGAGGTACCTAACGGTGGATTTACAGTAAAGCCATTCAGTCAAATAAAGCTCTGAAAGTATTGCTGGTGAGTGGTTTTCCGAAATCCTTACTCGTCTGTGCGGTAGAGGGCCAAGGCGTGGCCGGTGAAGTCGATCACATCCTGGCCCAGGTCAAACTTCTTGTAAACATCCCTCATCGTTGTGGTTTTAGGGTCCACGCCCTCAAAGGTCTTGGGGTCATTCTCATCAAAGTTGGCCACAAAGATTAGAAACTTGCGAAACCTTCGCTTTTCAAACATTCCCATCAGATCTGAAAGTTGAAATAAAAACGTGTAGAATCCCACAAACCCAGTCGGTTGGTGTTTCCCCGTCGGCTCAGACGCAAATCTTACTTGAAGCTAATGCCTCGGTTTCAGTCGACGGCACCTTGTAGATCTTTCCTCCCTTGTAGACGAAGCTTCCCTCCACAACTTTGAAGTCCAGGTATCGTGTCACTTCTGTGTACAGCAGCATTTTCACGAGCTGACCTAAAATCACACAGATTTTCTAAATCTTATTTTTGTGACCGAGATGGAAATCCTCCAGCAGTTTGACTAGTCCACACGTAACTCTCAACCAGACTTTCCACTGTGACTGGACGTGCATGTGGCGCGTAACGTGACAGAGGTTTGACCCACAACCTCCCTTCCCACCGGGAATGCTTCAGTTGCAAAATGGCGGCAAAGCGTTCCACGCAGTGGGTCCTGCGAGGTCATGAAATCACGGAAGAATTGCAACATCATGCGTGATTTCTGCAGTTCACACGAGAAGAAGCAAGGAGAGAGATGACGGCATGTCTGTGGTTTATTTTCTGTTCCGGTTACCTTGGCTACGGAGACTTCCTGTCTAGCACGATTTTAAATGGAAAGTTTGATGCGTTCTGGATGAGTTGCATATAAAAAATACACTCCAGGGGCCTAATTTATGAAAACGTTCCTATATTCCTTCCTACAAATGAAATTTAGGATGTGTGTACTCCTGATTTATGAAACGTGCGGTGGTCTCTCGTACACACGTTCCTCCGCAACTGTCTGATGATAAATCCCACCTGCGCGTACCCAGGTGCTCGTGTCCGTTCATCATCATTTACATACAGAAACGCCCTCAATGAACCATATTTGGTCATGCTGCGTCCTCGGCACGTGAGGGAATTCCCCGTTTGTTTGTTTTTTTCTTTCCAGAAAAAATAAGAAAAACTTTATTGACAGCGAGCTCGAGACACTCGAGAAACCAAACAGGTTGCAGAGGTTATAAACGCGGTCGGGACAGAGGAGACGTTCCTGAAAAAAAAAAAAAAAGGATTTGATAAATCATAGAGTAACGGGTTCTCGTCTCCATTTACGGAGTCGTTCTGTGTGGAGTACGTTTCATTTGGAAATGTTGTCTGAGAGCGCAGCCTCACCCTCTTCTGAGCTGTCATTCAGTCTGGTTGCATGGAGCGGGGAGCAGGAGGAGGCTCTGGGGTGTTCTCGTATTTGTAAAATAAAATATGAACTTGAATCGGATTCGTGAAGTTTGTCTGTCGCGCCACAAAGGGTCCCAAATCACAGCATAGCGGAAGGATTTCTTCCTCACGGAAAACGTGTTCCCTCCAGAGGGCACGCTCTGTTAAATCTTCAAATAACACAGATTAGTCATGATATAATGTCAGATTCCTGTTGGTCACGTGTGTCTTTTATTGGTTTTAGCACCAATAATGAGCTAAAGCCGTTTTTCCACCAACATCACTACATACAGGGGAAATATAATTTGTGGATGAGGAACAGGTGTGGATGACTGAGACCTTCAGTACTGCTGTTCCCCAGTTCCACCACTAGATGCTGTTCCTTCACGTGGTCAGAGCTGCTCTTTTATTTAGGAACGTGTTCACGCACAAGTACAAAAAGGTAAATACCACACAATGTGTACATTTGTGCCTACACGCAAAATACGCACAGATCTGTGCAGAAGTACGGTTGATAAATGAGGCCCCAGGTTTATACAACACGTCCCTACGTGAGATGCTTCCAACATGTAATGCTTCACAGCTGGTGGAAACACACCCATCCACCATTACGACGGCTAACTGCAGCGTGCTACGTTTCGCTGACATTGTGCGATGCTTACTCGCCCGGTGGAAAGGCCCGATTAGTTTTGAGTTTAGATTTAACTTCTCTTTTTAAAAATAATCTTTCATGGCACCATATACATCTAGCTGATTATGTACCACTGACCATTGGCCATGAGAAACTTGGGGATGAGGTCAACATTCCAGTCCCTTCCTCTGCCCATGGACTCTGGTGGGCTATCCGAGAGACTGAAGCGCTTGTAAAGCTGCAAGAATGGACAGGGAAAGCATGCATCAACAGAAAGTCCAACAGGCTCACACAATCAGACGGATAAATCACAATGCAGCATCAGCAGCCAATGCTACTGGGACTGAAGAGGGATCGAGTGAAGAAGAAAAATGGTATTGATTAGCTTTTACAGATCCCCAAACCCCCATACCTCCTCCAGAGGGGTAATAGAAGAGCTCTCCCCTCCATAGTAGGGGTTCCTGTCCATGTGCAGAACCTTCTTCCCATTCACGGACATGATCCCAGACAGAATGCATTCCTACGTAGGACAAGATGCAAACATCAGTGCATAATCTCTGAAAACTAAATAAAGAAAAGCACTCATGCCTAAGAATCAGTTTTATTTGACAAGAGACGGAAAGATTTGAAAGAAATGGTGGACTTGGAGCCCTTTTGCTCAGCTCGTGAGGAAAACATGAAACATGCTTTCCCACACATTAAGTTAGTGCTCGGGATATGTGTTGTAAATGACTCTACAAGCTAAAAACGCAGCAGATTTTAGCTAAATATTTGTATGAATGATAAGTGGCCCACACTTGCATAGCGCCTTTCAGAGTTAGAGGACTCCAAAGCGCTTTACACTCCGTTCTATCACTCATCCATTCACACACTGATGGTGATGAGCCATAATGTAGCCACAGCTGCCCTGGGGCTCACTGACGGAGGCGAGGCTGCTGAATACAGGCGCCACCGGTACCTCCGACTACCACCAGCAGGAAAGGTGGATTAAGTGTCTTGCCCAAGGGCACAACAGCAGAATTCTCTGCTGAGATCGATCCTACAACACTCTGATTGCTGGACAACCTGCCCTACCTCCTGAAAAACCAACAGAGTTGAAGGGATTTTTGTGTTGGTTAGGGTCGATTAGTCAACTGACTCCAAAAGTTAACAAGTTGTAGGAAAGCATCTGATGATAAATTAGTGTTTCCTTAAATTCAACCAGTGCTTTCTGACACATTCACAGATAGGCTTAATTAGGGCGGGGCAATAATTCAATAACGACATATATCGATCAATAGGCATGTGGTTCAATAGGAAAAAAATGGATCAATAAAAACTTCAATAAGTTTCCTTTTCCCACTATAGCCTATTGGGTAGCTTCATCCAAGAGTCATTACTTACACCCAACCAATCAAAATCACAGACCCAAGCCCCGCCCCCTCACAGACAGCTATGTGACTTCAACAAGACGTTGCAGCAAGGAGAGGTGGAAGAAATGGTCCCGAGAAAAGGTGACAGCAGTTCACCAGCGTGGTGATGCTTTCACTCTTACAAGTCTGACAAAAAACAAACGGTTGTTTGTAACAGGTAAAAAAAACTAATCTAGTATTGCAACCATCTTGTTTCATCGTATAGTAATGATGGACAGGGCTGCACTTAAAACGTATTTGACATTTTTCATATTGTTTTCAATAACTATTGATATTGATCAACTGGATTTTATTTTTTTTATTGATAAGCTTTTTTTCTATATCGTCCAGACCTATGGGTGATGAAATTGTTTTGTGCAAAATTGGGTCAGTGTAGCCACAGCTGCCCTGGGGCGACACCGGTCCCTGCGACCACCACCAGCAGGCAATGTGGGTTAGGTGTCTTGCCCAGGGACACAACAGTAGCAGTGTAAATGACTTTCAGCTATTATTACATAAAATTACACCCTAATACCTGTAAAACTGACCAAGTTACAGGGATTTTTGTGTTGACTATGGTCAAAGCAGAGGCGGCCATCACAACTGAGTTGTCTCCTACGGTTTATCAGTTACGCCTACATCCAAAGACACATTTTAGAGATTTCAGTTGTTTTCTCTTCCAGTGGTTCATCTGTGCTGAAGCCACTGATAAATCTAAAAACACACACGCCGGCAGAAACACTATCACCTCTTCCTCATGTCATCAGGTGAAAATGTTTTTTCTCTCTTCCTTCATTTTACACCTGTAATTACATCACGTGCACACGTGCACACTGCAAAACAAGTGTTTCAGTTATTGGCCCACTTTATTTCTATAAACTATTAACTATAAACAGAAAATCCAGGCAGAAATAGGAAGGCATATGGGGTTGGGAAGCTCTGACAGGAGCGGTATGCACATGCGTAAAACGCATGTTACACTATTAACAACAACAACAATAATAGTAATAATAATAATAATAATAATAATAACTATTATAATTTGTGTTTAAATAGTTGATAACATAAAGACTAATAAACAGGAGAGTAGTCGGATCTATGATAACTTGTTTGAAACCATGTCGGTTTTTACAGATGCGCATGCAAAAAAAAGGCGTAAATGCCGCAATCACAAGCGTCCCTGGCGCATTTCTGCCGCACCGAGTGCGTTAGTGAAAGCAGTTGCGGCGAAAGTGGTTTCCTTGAATGAATAGCAGTGTTGAGGCCTGCGCCACCTCAGGATGGAGGCCTGTATGCAAAGAGGACCGTGACACACGGAGGGGTTACGCCTAAAAGATGCTACAGGGTGTAACACAACACTGAGTGCGCCGGTCTGCGCGTCTGCAAAACCACAACCAAACAGGCCACTACAGGAGGAACCAGAGCTGCGCGCGACACAAAAGAAAATACTTACACAATTTTAATTCTGTGACCTTTAATTTCATATACTAAGTTATAAAATACTGGAGGAGTTTTCACTGCAGGTTTGGAGAGAGACTGCTGCAGGCCTGCGCTCCTGTAAAATACTCATCCGAGCCTTCCACACACTAGTTTTCTCTGAAGAGAACAAACGCAGCCTGACTTACTGTGAGTCCGGTACCCAGAACGATCACATCATATTCCTCATCCATGTTGTCTCACCGCCTCTCCCGTGTCTCGCCCTCTTTTTGCCTTGAGAAATAAAGAAGGGAAGGAACGCCAGTGACTCCAAAACAAGCGAGAGTCTGTCTATCTCGGCGCGGCGACTTTAAACGTCTCCTTACAATAAAATCTTATTTATTAACAACCGGTCATGCAGAACCAATGAGAAATATCGTCCACACGGACTGTCACCGGCGGGCGAGGACGACCAAAGATGGCCCTGGTTGCGGAGCAGTCCAGAACAATGTGGGCGCGCGACATCAAATAGTGCGCGTCCTCTTCCCTTTCTTCCCGCATCACACACACTGAGAGAGGCTTTTGTTGTATGGGGGAGGGGTGAGTGTTACACTAAACATGCAGCATTCTACTTTTACTCCATAGTGACCATTAAGCATATATGCTGGTTTATTGAATTTGACTAAAGTGTCTCTACTTGTCCATCCCTCCCTAGGAGCAGCGCTGCGTGGATGCAGGGAGTGGTATCCCTCCGCGGCCACAGCTGCGTGCGGATGGGAGTTGAGCCGCTGAAGCACGCAGGTCTGCTGGATACAGTTACCTGCTGTTGCTGGGTGCTTGTTAAACCCGAGCGTTACTTTTGTGCGACAATGAGACATTTAAACAGCGAAACATTGAGACATGACCACTCTGTCAGCACCGTGGACAGTTGACTTTCCACACACACACACACACACACACACACACACACACTGGCATATTCAGAAATCTAGACTAGCGCATAAATGTTTCCTTCTGGAGGTTTTTATGATTCTAAACAAGTAAGCATCAATACATTATGAAGGGAGCTGAGGGCATAAACACGTCTGAGGTCGTGGGCAGGTTTTAGTGAAAGAAGCAGGAAGTCCTCTCTTCAGCATCAGGCGCGTGACTGTCAGCTGGCTCGAGTCACGTGATCGCCGTTAGCGGAAAAGCTGAAGAAAGATGTCTGGCTCGGTGTGGCTCAGTGGAGGACAGTTCTTGTGTTTTCTTTTCTTTTTGGCTACCTGCTTAGCTCCGGGGAGCTCCACGGCACAAGTGCCGCTTCTCATGTGGTCCAGTGACAGGTAACATTTATTTTAGTCGTGTTTATAACCTTACTGAGGCTTCTTAGTTTGTCTGTCATGCTAATGCTAACACTTTAGCTTGGTGGATTGGGACAAAAACAACATTCTCGGTCTGAAAAGCATCAATAACTCAGACACTAAAGGTAGTCTGTGTCCGTAGAGGAAACATCTACTACCTTCTGCTTGATTTAGTTATCAGACGGACACTCGGCTGGTATTAATCAGCTGTTTTGTTGTAGGTAGAGCTAGTGTGTTTCATTCTGACAGAACAGCATGCTTATGATTGATGACAGGAACAAGGACACTTATTTAATTGTAAGTTTAAATATAAAAAGAAACGATAAAGAACCCCATATTTTGAGGGAGCTGAGGATGTATTTTTATTTATTTTCTTTTGGAAGTTTGCCCCCCCTGGCCCCAGCCACGGCTGGCCACATCACACCCCACGAAGAGGTGACTGCCTATCTCAGCTCCGTCTTTGGCTCCGGCTCACACACTGTGCTGCTGTTCCTGCAGGACAAGGTCAGTGGATGATGGCACATGAAATCCTCCTTCTGTTTACTTGTAAACATGGACCAAAATAGGCTGGAAACAACAGGTCACTGGGAGAGGGAGCCACGTGACTTCTCCTGGTGTGACGGTTGAGCTGTACTTCCCATTTCCAAGTTCCCTACTTGCATTTTGTTCAGGGGCAGCGCATTTCTTTATTAGAGCAGCTGCCAACAACTTATTTTATATAAGTGATTCTGTCAACTAATTAAACAAATAATTAAATGATCGTTTATACTTCAAAAATGGATATGAACACTCACTGAATGCTTGAAAGAAAAAGATGGCTCCTTTCTGCCATGAAGGTAATATATATGGTGGGTGTCATTCTTTCCAATGATAGAAATGTTATCCATTCATCTCTTAATATTATTTACCCCAGTTTAATCCTCCTGAAAAAGGAAGAGCTCACATGTATGTATTAGGAACATAAAGCTGCACAGAAGTATCCAGTCAAACGTAGGCCCAGACACTGGAATGAAATGTTCCTCAGACCACTCATCATCAGAAAACCCAGCACAAAGACAAACATCTGGATTCTTAGTGCATTTAAAAGCCCGCGTTTCCCATCCAGATGCCCTCTTGGCTTGTTCTGCTATGTTGAGAAAAATCTTGCAGCGTGACCAATCTACTGATACTTGATGGCTAGTAAGAAGCATTATACTTTAGATTAATTCTGTTGCTAAAAACATTCATTCTTGTTTGATGCAGAGGCACAAGAGACCTCTTATCTGCTACAACACTGTTGAAGCTGCTGCTTGGATGGAGCTGACTAATAACTGGACCTGAGTAAATATGGGGTCCTTGAGTAAAAGCTCACCAGGTTACATTATTATACAATACAGAACAATAGGGTTTAATGTGATTGCACTGCTTTTGCAATCCTCCTATTTTAACATTTCAACTGTTTTCTGAAAAGGTTTGCTTTTTATTTCGGCTTTCCACCTTTAATCTGAAACACTGAGTTTTCCCCTGACTGACCGACCCGACGCCAACATTATACTTCTTTGGTTTTCTCATATCTAAATCTATTTCTATTGTCTGTTTACATTTCCAGTTGAGCAAAGATGACTTCACCCTCTATGGAGGAGTGTTTGGAAACAAACAGGAAAGTGCTTTCAAACACCTCGAGGTGGGTTTTAAATCGGGCAGTAATGATGAGCTGCCTACAAACAAAAAAGATAAACGGGGATGATGAAACTCTTTCCAGGCTGCGCTCCGTTCCTCGTCTTCAGTGACACTTCCTGCTCTGGAGTGGACAGGCCTCTCCGCCATCCCCACCCTGCTGCAGGACAAGCTGGGTGTTCCACCTCTGCTTGTTGATGCAGACACGCTTTCACACCTGAGCATCAACACGTCTGCCAACAATCTGCTTCTGGTCCATCTGCCTTACTGTAGCAAGTGGGACTTGTTTTTGTTCTTAAGTGTTTAAAATCAATTGGTTATTATTCTGAATTAGAAAATCTGTTCTTCTTAATTTTGTGTAGCTCACTCAAGACGTGCAAGGAAGTCCTAAACGACAATGGTAGTTATTAACCATTCGTGTGTGTGTGTGTGTGTGTGTGTGTGTGTGTTTGTTCACATGGCAGGGTGTTTAGCATAATAACGGTTTGTTTTTAATACCAACAGATCAGATTATTGGAAACGTTCTAAGTTTCTTGAAAGACGAAGATGTTTCATACACCGCGATGTACACCGGACTCCACCCATCTCGAGTAAGAGCATCAGGTTTTCACATGATCACAAAAATGCATCGAGCTCTAACCCAAGAAGGTACTGATGGCTAGTTTAACTTTGCAGGCGACTGCACAAGCTCCTGTGCCAAACCAGCAAGTTGGCCGCACCTTGCTGCAAATTGCTGAGGACGATGCCAACCCTCCCATAGTGTACCCCGAGTCAGGAAGTCCTTGCATAATGCTGTGGGCTCAGAATCTCAGTGTCGATACCACAAGTGGTGCTGGCTGGTTTGACCTAGCTCAACAAAGCCATTCCACTGCGGGGTCCATGTGCAACAGCACTAACTCACTGTAAGCTGGCGTCTTTCTACCGGCTGGTTAAGTAATTAACTTTCTTGTTCTATGAAAATGACTAAATTTTGACATTTCTCTCAAATTAGGCTTGTGCTCAACTATCCGAACTACACACTGAGGTAAGGGAATTAGTCTGACATCACAGGTGCCACCTTTTGTAACGTTCAGTATCAGCATCTGGTGTCTGTCCATTGTCGTGCTCTGACATCACATTGCTGATACGATTATTGATGGTGTGATAGTCACTCCTCAGTTGATCAGGCGGGTGGTAAAGACAAAAAGGGCCTGTGGGAGTTAACGACCTTCTCGCTGTGAGGCAGCAGTGCTACCCGCTGCTCCAGCATGCAGCCCTTACTGAAACACCAAACATTTCTTTGAAATGCAGCTTCTCCATGAGCCAGCGGTTCTATCCCATTTCTGCACGTAACTGGTTCACCCTGGATCAAGTGCAGCTGCGGGCATTTAATCAGACTGAGACCTTTATTGGGTCGCGTGGCATCTACGCCCCTGCAGAGTATTCCTACCGCTGCCAGACTGTCAGGAGCTACCAGGATGCACTGCTACTCCCAGCTGACATTACATCTCAGTGGAGGCTCGAGTTTACCGACTTCCAGGTACAATTATTCGTTCTTCAGTGTTTTTTGATGGCGACTTTTAAAATGACCAGTGTACCCATGATTTTGAAGACCTATCTTGTGTGTTTTTTTACTTTTATGCTACAGATCCAGGGCTTTAGTTTGGCCAGCGGTAACTTCTCCTACGCCAGCGACTGTGCAGGCTTCTTCACACCTGGGATTTGGATGGGCCTGGTCACTTCACTGCTCATGCTGCTCATTTTTGTGTATGGCTTGCATATGATAATGCAGCTAAACACCATGGATCGATTCGACGACCCCAAAGGTCCAACAATTTCAGTGCCTCAGACAGAGTGAAGCTTTTCTGACATTCACAAATGGACTCCAGTGTCTTCAGTGCCTCCTGAACCCAGAAGAAAGCCTCCACCTGGTTGCTTTTGCATGTGTGAATGCTTTTTTCCTACAGGAATCTCCAGATCTGGTTATCTTCTAAGGCAAATCGTTTTTTTTTTTAATCTTTCCTATATCTGCATGTGCCACAATTGCTGCAATCTTTTATGATTTACTATTGAGTGCATGTGGTACAGCGGATGTCTTCCCAAGAGCAAATTGCACTCTGGAATACCTGTGCTGCCAAAACGAATGTAACTGCTGAAAACTGTGAGACCGTGTCCGACCTCAGATCTCATCGTTTGATCATTTCTAACATAACCAGTTTAAAGTGTACTGGTGAGTTGCTGTTTAAAGGTATTTATTTGTGGTTTGCCATATTAGATGTTGGCTTTCATACTTCTCAGCGGGTTTGGTTTTATTGTCAAGGATCTCATTCAATTTGATCTCTTCTTGAACCTAATTTATTTGTTTAAAAGAATCTCCAACGTGTCCTTAATTTAGTCTCGCTATGGTTAATCAGATAGTTAGACAGTGCCTAAGCCTTGCTTCTGTAAAATGTGTTGTAAATGTGCCATAAAGTGCTTCTGTTAATGATTGCAATGAGAGATGTCTATGCAATAATAAAAATAGATGTGTTGAAGGTTTATTTCACTGATTTTCTTTTAATTTAGACAGACAACACTAGAAAAGCTTGAGCCTAGTAAAACATTTAAACTAGTCCGCACACGTTTATTTAGTTTGGCTGGCGTCGCAGTTGAACATTTTTGTCGGGTGATACTCAGAAGATGGGGAGAGGCTGAACGAATAGATGTTTGAGCATTGTGACAAACTGACGGTCAACCATTTGGCTTTAAAAATCAGCTGCCATACCATGTGTGTGTTCGGTCAGGTGAGCGAGGAAACCTGCCCAGATGGACTCTGGTAGAGGGAGGAGACTCAGATGAATGTAGTAACTATGTGAAGGTTGGTGTAAGAATGTAATGGGAGGGTGAAGAGTCCATGGACTACAATGTTTGCAGGGTGCAGGTAGAGGAGACGCTAGAGAAGTGTACTGGAATAGATGAAGACAATGCGTGTGTGTGTGTGTGCCTGCTCTGTCTTCTCGATCCCCAGTGAGTCGTGGAGGACGGCTGCTTATGCCGAGCCAGGATCCTCTGGAGGTTTCTTCCTGTTAAAAGGGAGTTTTCCACTCCACTGTCGCTACATGCTTGCTTAGTATGAGGATTGCTGTAAAGTCACTGACACTTGATGCAATTTGCTGGGTTCCTTATATAGGAAACATTTTTTCTGATTGGCTTAATGAACTGACCTGAATTGGAATGTTTATTATGTGAAGTGCCTTGAGACGACTCTTGTTGTGATTTGGCGCTATATAAATAAACTAATTGAATGTGTTTTAGGACTTGGGTTCTACGGTCTAAAGCTTGCCCTAAACGAGGCGAGGAAGTGTCAGGTGTGATAAAAGGGTTTCAGCTAGAAAGAAAGGAAAAGTGTAGAAGACAGTAGTGAGACCAGCCATGCTCTCTGGGTTAGAGACATCTGTGTGTGTGTGTGTGTGTGGAGGAGGATGAGTGTTGTGAAGGGGTTTTTATTCTCAAGACTGTTTTTAAATTCTGGGGATGGGAGGGAATGTGGGTATGCGGGGCCTTTTTAATCTGTTACGCACTTTGAGTTACATTCATTGTATATAAATAAAGTTTGATTTGACAGAGCTGGAAGCGGTAGAGCTCAGACGACGGATAAGATCAGGAATGAGTCCTTCAGAGGGACAGCTTCAGTTAGATGTTTGGGAGGTAAAGTCACAGAGGACAGACTGAGACGGTTTGGACATGTCCAGAGGAGAGACAGTGATGACATAGGTAGAAGGATGCTGAGGTTGGAGCCTAACCCTAACCCACCAGGCTGAGATTAAAGGATACCATGAAAGAGGATGCAGAAGACAGGACTAAATGGGGACAGGTGATTGGCTCTGGCGACTCCTGAAGGGACACGCCCGAAGACGACAAGAATAATTATTTTTTACAAATTAAGGAGCCATCCTTCCTAAACAGTATGGAGTTGTGGCCAACAATGTGCAAATGCTCAACGGACGAAATCATTACGAGTCTTCTGTAATTCAGATTTACAACATGAACGTTAGCCTGAGCTGTGAACAAAACCAGCTGTGAGTGAATTTCATTGTAAGTCTTAGTTTTCAAACTGTGTGTGGGCAGAGTCTGAGGTTAAATCCAGTGAAGAGTGCAAATGTATCACTCTAATCAGCGACTCACTTCCTGCTGCTGCTCTGCTTTAATTTCACTTCTGAAAAACACAGAACATGCGCCTACTCTGCAATGTTGTCTGGTTGTTTGCATACTGTATAATCCTGATGGGTGGCCAGTCACAGACAAAAGGCCTCACTGGTGATTTTCTAGTCCTTTCATCTCAGATGATCAGATGTTCTGCCTGTTTTTGAATCCCATTCCATTTGATGACCATTCTTACACTCTTTTCCTTGAAATACACATTTATGCCTCTATGCTTGTGAAATATTTGAGTTTTTTTGTTTTATTTCCTGTTGGCAAAATGAAAATCTTTCTTTTTTTGTGTAAAAGAAAAAAAAACATCTTTATTCAGAAAATCCTGCCTCCTTTTCGGTCTGCACGTTATACAGAACGGTTGCTTATAAACTGACTTTACAGAAAGTATTTACAAAGTGAAAACGCAACACAACAAACGTAAACAGACGTCAGTCAGAATGGTGAAGTCAGCAGCTGTACTGGTCCCACTGGTGCGGATCCCTGCCTTCACAGCAGCTGTTAAATCCGGACAGCTCCTCCAAGAGGAGCGAATCGGTGACTGAACCGCTGGGAGCACCAACAACCGAAGAACCGCGAGTCTGAAGAAGGTCCTGAATCACTTCTTCCTCCTCACTTTGGGTTTCTTGACCGGCCGGAGGTATGGATTGTCGATCAAGTTGTCATCGTTGGCCTTGGCAGATGGAACAATGCCGCTGGGAGGAAGCATGGAGTTCTCTTTGTCAGCACTCGGATCGTCCTGGATGACAAATAGAAAATGCGACTTCTTCAAACATCGCTTTTTAGAAATGCCACTAATACCACTGCGGTACCAGAAGTCTGTCTGGGGTCTGGAGAGTTAACCAAGCCAATTACAGAGAAAATAAAAAGTCCTCGTCTTTGATCGTGCATATGGAGGATGTCAACATAGAGACGCTGTATTTGTTTTAGGAACCTAATCAGCCTTTTGCAGATGACATAGCTCTGTTGGCGACCTTCAGTACGATCTGAGGTAGTTCAGTCAGCTCCTTCCAATCTGATAACACTCCCACACTGGCAACTGGTGGAACGCTCCCTCTGAGTTGGTAGTCTTGGCCTCAAATGAAGCAGTTCATGTATTTTAGTGTCTTGTACATGGACGACGGAGCAGAGACTGACTGACGAACATCTAAAGTAATGAGAATGTTGCTTCAGTCTGATCCAAAAGGCAGCGCCTGGTTTACGAGTCTGTCTGTGTTTCAAACATCACGTCTGGTTGTAAGATGTGGATGTGGGGAGTCCCGTCCTGCTCAAAACCAGCTTTTTGTTTCAACCACTCCTGCTTTTTCTTCTTCCACCCTCCCCTCTTGACTATCCTGCTGCAGACCTGCCAACCTTGTCAAAGTTTTTCGAGTACCACTTGTGCGGCGTTATTCCGTCGACTTTTGCAACTCCGTTGCTTTTCACGCTGTAATCTCCCCATTCACTGGATGGAAAATTTTACGCATGCACACACACACACACGCACACACACATGTTCATAGTTCTTATTCCGACTAGTAAGGTTATAGACATTTTTAGTTTGACCTGACTCCAAAGTATCATGTATTTTAATATTAAACAGTAAAACTCTAAAGTGTAATTATATAATATTTGTGCTCATACAAGTTACTTGCATTAAATTATTTCAATACAAATTAATAAAAAACATTTATATGTATTTAATGGTAATTATTTATTTTGTAAATTGCAATAGGTGTTTCTGTTCTCAAGAATGTAATATTACATTGGCTTAAAGCACATCTGCACACATCACCAGGGCTAATTTACTGATTACCTGCAGCTCCCTGGTGGCTTATGTCCACATCATAATTGCAGATTGTGCAAAATGCATGCTGAGATTGTTTAGAGGGTCGCAAGCATGGCCACTGTTCTTGATATTTGGACAAAAACTTGTGAGACACATGGATCCTCTTCTGTTTGGCAGGTCTGCTAACCAATCCCTCCCTGTCCGCTTCTCCCTCATCTGCCGTAGCATGAGCTGCAAAACGAGCTGCGAAAATAAAATAATGGCTGCTTGTTTAAACTGTATAAATAATCACATTCCTCCTTATATACAGGCCAAATCTATCTGCAATGGATAAAGACAAACACACACACACACACACACACACACACACACACACACACACACACACACACACACACACACACACACACACACACACACACAGGAGAGAGGAGCAGCGGGCAGGACGAAGCAGGGAGGAGGGGGGCGGGGGTGTTACGCTAGGTTAGGCAGGATAGCTTTTCTCTGCTTCTCTACGATGATTGGCTTAAACTTCTTCACCACGCCGCTGAGTCAGACATGAGTACCACACGTGCATATTCGCCACAGAACTCAACTCAGGTAGTTTAGAGGGGTGAGTCGTACCAGCGTAAATAGATGCCAGATTGCGTACAAGTTGGCAGGTCTGCTGCTGAAATCAGAGACTGGTTTGCCTCCAACTGTTTTAAGTTCATTTCAGATCAAACTTCTTCTGGACACTGAACCATCCCTGGCTAATCGCAGAAACGTATCTCTGTTGATTACTCCACTAACACCACACTAGTACCAATAAAGAGCTCTTGTGTTATTTTGGATAGCGCCTTATCCTTCCTATTACTCCTAACCGTTCTAACACACTCCGCAGTGTAGCTGCGACTCTCTCTGTTTCAATCCTAAGTGCTGCTTTTTATTGCCCTGTTCCTCTTAGTTTAGACCTTCAGAATGGCACCTTCAAAAAGTTATTTTTACTACTACTCTACTGCGCCTGGCACCAATTCCCAGCTGTGAAGACTTACTGTCACCATATTTCCAGCTGTGTTCTCGCTGTCGGTCTGGTCGTCCTGCTCAGAGGAGTCCGTCTCCTCCAGCGACTGCAGTTCCAGCTCCGAGGGCAGGAGGGCGCTCAGATATGGGATGGTGCTTGGCCGAGCTGCGATCACTAACAACAGCAATGTGTTATTCTGTATTAATGCACAGGGTTACACACAATCTGACGGGTAATGTACAGTCGGGATCCCTCACATGGGAAGGCCGTGACGTCGTCTTTGAAGAGGCTTTGAGTTTCTCCAGTTTTGGCCATGAAGCGTGTGAGGGCCCGTTCTACGTCTCTCCTCTGGTTCGCTGCCTTTTCTCTCACCACTTGGTACTCGGACACAGGCTCTCTGAATGTCTGAGGGAAGGAAGGAGAGCCTCGCAAAACACCTGTTTATGCAACATCACCCACTATGGGGGTGAACGTGGTTTTATAGGGCTATTATGGAGATTATGTTGATGAACTTACAGGTGTTTTGATGTAGGTATGAGGGTCCGGAAACTCTGGGAAGTGGCTAGGAATATGAGGTGGGTGAGTGCGCTTGTGCCCAGCTGACAGGGATTTAGGTGTTGTTGGTGTGTTCGTGACTGGAGCTAAAAATCAGGAAATACAAACATGTAGAACTTAAAACTAGCCTACAACCGTGACTCGTTACTTGATATCCTAGGGTATCATCACAGCTCTAACAGCAGAAATGTCAGGTTTTGTTTCTTACGAGCTGTAATGACCATCCTCTGTGACCGCTTGGCGTACACGGGGAGAGTGTCGACATTAAAACCTTTCCAAGGACAAACAATCACCGATTAGGAGTGTGTTCACAGTAAAAAAAAAACATGTCACCATGCTGATGCACCTTCAGTCTTACCCATTTCAATGAGTGTGACCACCGTGTCAGAGAGGGTTGGGACGCTCCTGGCCGTGTGTTCACAGTATGCTTTGGCACAACGACCTATTTCACTTATATCTTTACAGGAAAATGATACCATTAGTATTTCAAAAACTCTACAGGCACGCTTTTAAACAACCAAACAAATACCTCATCAAAGGCCAGCACCAATCGTACAACACAGTAGTGGATAGAAGCTCTCAGAGTCATAACCTGCAGTCACTAGTTCTTATTTAACTTCTTTAAACGCTGGACGTGACTCCGGTTGAAGACGTTCATTTGAACACATTGTGATCTCTTAACAGCGACATATTTTTTATTAAGTTCTCATTTTATTTATTCAGAGACGGGTGAGGGAGCTGACTGTGGTTGTGTGTGTTTGTGTGTGTGCGTGCGCAGACACGAGGGTCCAAATGCGGCTTGAATTCACCATTTGTCATCTCACCTGCTGTGCTGCTAGTTTCCCTGACTCCACAGGGGTTTGCCTAAAGTTGTGCGCATTTTCCTGTCAGGTTTTCTTTATAAATGTGCGTGGAAAGTGACACACGCGGTTTTCAGACCCGGTTTTGTTTATAAATGGGGCCCCAGATGGAGCAGAAACAGCTGAAACATAGAGGACGGAGGCTCTTTAAAGAGCAAGTCACCCCCTACAAGAAGCGTACTCCACTCCCACTTCATGTTTGAAAAATGCAACAAATGCTGTTGCCTAGCAGACCGAGAGGGTGGAGCCACTAACAAATACACACACGCACGACATTGTGACATCATAATGTACCAGTTTACATCATAGCATACCTCTTAGCCAATAGCGGTGGCAGATTTAAATTCAAATGCAGTGAAGAGTTTTTACCTGACAACGGCACAACACTGACAGTTTAAGGCAGAAAATTTAAATTTTAACTAAAATGCACTAAAGTGCAAAACTATTGACCACACGTGTCTGCAGCACGATTAGACACGCATTTATATAGTTTATCAGAAAAAATAGTTGATTTGGGGGTGACTTGCTCTTTAAACTAACCTAGACTGATTAGATCAAGTGAAGTTTAGACGTAAACATGCATTCATCTGAATAGCCTTAACCTGGTGTTGGAAGCTCGTGCTCAGCGGACAGAAGCTACTGTTTGTAAACACTTACAGCTCTGCATCATCTCCGTGAGCGTCTCCACCGCGGCCTTCTCTGCGCTCTCAAAGCCGCTCTCGGTCAGCAGGGCGCTGACAACAACCTGCAGGGTGCGACGGCGGGCCAGCTGGTAGTTCTCCGCGGCGCTGGAAGCCGCTTTAGCGCCACGCTGAAAGAGCACACACACAAACCCTGGCGTTGTAAGGTGCTAGCTTAATGTAAATATCTATCGAAATACTACTGCTCGTGCCAAGGACCAACATGTTTATTTACAGTAGTAATAACTGTGGCGATGAGAGGCGCTTGTAAGCTAGCTGGCGCGTTCTAATGCCCTAAAAAGCATCTCTTACCCCGCAGGAGGGCAGCGACCCTCCCGATACTACCGCTGGATCCGCCATAAGAGGTTAGCTCCAGGTTTCCTTCTCTAACAAATGCAATTCTTCTTCTATTTCTACTTATCCAGAAACCGCTTCACCGTCGATTGTAAACACAGCTCATACTATGACGTAATTTCCGCTTTTGTTGCGGAAGTGAAATTGAGTATTAGAGTCTTTCACTCTGCCATCTAGTGGCTATTTGCTGACATAACGTACCAGTAAGGGCGCACATCTCCCCAGTTTTACTGCTTACTGGTTACCAGAGGTGGTCGGGCCTTTCGAGCAGTGGCTCCCACACTTTAGCTCTGTCCTTGTGCTCTTATTGAAAAGATTGTGTTGAGAAACAGCTGAAAACACATTACGTTAGAATTTTTTTATACCTTATTTTATGTTCTTTTGTTTTTACGAGCACATTTTTACACAGGTTGTATGCGGTGTTTACAGTTTTTATTTGTGAAGCCCTTGGTGATATTTTTTCTGCGAACAGTGCTAAATACACATTACTTTTTGTTTTACTCAATAAAATTCTCCTCATGCATAAAGCTTAAACCTCTACCGTTAAAGTCGAATAAATCTGAATCTGTGGGCGCTTTAAATTAGGGCCAAAATTCTGCGAGCAGAAAAAATGTTTATTTAAGTACAAAATGAATGACACGAATGGCATTTCATGAGCTCCATAGACACCCAGTGCATGTCAGCCATTGGAACCTGCTGCCCAGCAGCATTACTAAACTGTATCCTGCAGTTTTTATTGTAACATTTCAGCTAAGTTTTAGCCACCAGCTAAGAAAAACTACACATTTAACCATATCTGAAATAAATTAAAGAATAAAAAATGAGCTGCTTGATTTGGTAATGCAGGCTACCACCACCACCACCACCAACAATACTGGTATATCTTTGTCCTTTTAAGTGGTGTGGAGTGTTTCTTTAAGAAGCATGTAAGCGGTTGGCTGAGCTTCTCTGGATAGATGTCCCCAGATATTTAGTCTTGGCTCCAAACGATACTGCTCCCATCATGTCCTCAACTTCGGCATGAACTGTGGCAGAGTCTGATTTGCTCGTACTGTTTTCCTTATTCATCTCGATGTAGAACTTTGCTTGTTCTTCCCCTGGGCTGTGATTGTCTAAAAAGGGCTGGAGAATCATCTCCACCACACCACCGACCATCCCGATCATCGCCAGAGTCGAGCCGAGCATGTAGATCTTAAGCATGCTCCAGCTGGGCTTCTGTCTCAGCATTTCCTTGGCAAAAAGGATGATTTCGTTGGTGCTGTCCATTTTCTGATATGCAATGATTCTGCTGGAAGAAAAATAATAGTTTAATGTAGTGTTCTTTTGTGGAAAAAACAATTATCACAAAGACATTTGGCTAATGAATGATACTCACTCTAAGGCAGACGTCAAAAATGTGAATTTCTCCCAAGTGTTTGGCACGATCAGGCATTCGCAGGTGGAGAGGCTGGAGCAGACTTCCCATTTAAATACAGCCGAAGCCGCGTTTCCTCCCACAACAGAGGAGAGACCATGCATATTTATGAGGCCACCTTTTACAGAGATTAGCACGTGTTTGTGTCAAAGGGCATGGGTTTGTGGGGAAGAGAAGTTGAACAAACACTCCCCATACGTGTAACATCACACATGATGTGCAGCACATACAGTAAACAACTGTTTAGTGAGTGCACAGTCACTGAAAATAGTTTTGGAAAACCCATCAATGAGCATACAAACTGAAGTCTGAGTGGTTGGTTTACATTGTGTGATTTGTAACCATGCACATTGGCCTTCCTCACCAGAGCTTGAAAGTTGTCCAATCAAAGTGTTGGAAACCAAGAACAACCACGCCCATTTATTGTCTGACAGATTGCTGCATTGGTTGGAATAGCCCTTATTGAACTGTGACAGATAAGCTCCATACGAAGATAAGATCCACCTCCACCCCCCAATCATGCAGCTCTGGGCTGCTCTGGCTCCTGCACTCCTGCAAACCGTCTGACCGACAGAGGGCAAGAGCCTGCAGGGGGATTGCTCGGTTTCAAACCGACTGCCCTTCGACCCAGATCATGCTGCACGAGCGGGAAGGGTGAAGTCGGGGGAGTGAGTTGGGAAATGTGTCTGATCTTTGTCACAGAGGGACATGTGTCACGAACACTCAGAGAAAAGGTCTGCACGTCAGAGACACATCAGAGCTGGATCAGCGTCTGCTCAGTAGACGGTGCACACTTGGCCCACTACCGTTTAGTCCAGTTGGAGCCGAAGGCATGCTAACGGGTCCAAAGACGTGATGCCAGCCAGTCTGTGGACAGAGACTGCCTCCATGGCGTCAGACTGGAATACGTGATGAAATTAATTCTGTTCCACACATAATCACTTTCAGATCAAAGCATCAATACGGGATATCTCATTCAATAGAGCAAATCAAATTGGATGCAGTGGTCAAAGTTGTCATATTGATTGACAGAGTCAACAAGCTACAAGGAACACGCAGTGAGGAGTTTGTAAACAATAACATAATGCAACGCAAACAATAGAAGTGGTGTCACCTTACTCTGAATCCCAGCCTCCATCTTTAGGCCACAGAATATAAAAAGTATTCAAGTGAATAAATATCCTCCAACCATAAAGGAACAGAACTCTTCCTGCCACGTGATTACCTCCTGCCAGGTGACAGAAGAGCAATCTTGCAGACTAAATTTAAATTAAGCTTCTGGTTGATCAGCAAAACAGATCAATGCATGAAAACAAACCTATGGTCTGCATTAAGGTGATCTTGCATGTACAAGCAGCCAGAAATAGATGTTCTACAAATGGGTCAATACTAGCCGAGCAAATATGTTGGTGTTTACATCATTAGAACTTTGGGTCATGGTACATTTCTGACTTCAGCGTTTAAATATCTCAGGGTCGTGTTATGAGCGAGGGAAGAAGGGAGAGAAAGATCAATGAGAGAATCAGCATCCGAACCAGTGAAGAGGGAGCTAAGCCAGAAGGCAAAGCTCTCTAAAGGTTGGTTTATGCTTGACGCGTCCGCGAGGTCCGCACGGCTCAGCGCGGCAAAATTGCGTCATTTTAACAACCACGCCCCTCCGCCGCGCCTCCGCACGGCCCAAAATTTCCGCAACGCGCACCTAGGAAATTTTCTAACCACGCGGACGGTCGGACGTGGAAAAACATGGCGGACCGGCAAGAACTAGTATGGCAGAGGTTCGTAAATACAGACATTTGTATGATTCAGCTCTCAGAGATCACCGTGATCAACATGTTGTTAATAATTCTTGGAGAGAAATAGCTCGCACTGTCGGAAAAGACGAGGACGCTGTTAAAAATGCTGGAATGCCATGTTGTAAACAACAGTAATTTCTACTTCTACTATGGTGTAGTGTTGGATGCATGCCGTAGAGCTCCATGCTGCCCCCTACAGTTTGGGAGAATATTGGTTCACCGCAGAGACGAGCCGCACGAACCATAAACGCGTTCCATCCGCGAGCCGCATCACCAAGCGGAAAGTGAATGTGTCAAGCATAAACCAAGCTTAATTCACCGACGCTCCTCTTTAAGATCCGCACCTATGTTAACGTTGGGTAATGACCGAAAGAACAAGATCACATACGCCAGGGTCAGCCTTATGGGGACTTTGATAAATGATAAATGATCCGCACTTGTACAGCGTCTTTCAGAGTCAGAGGACTCCAAAGTGCTTTACACTACAGTGAATCATTCATCCATACAGGGACAGGGTCATCGAGCGGCTGAAAGGGACAGCCAGTGGCTCTGGCGGAAGAGGTAGCTGGGCCTCAGCTGGGTGGATGGCGTCCTGCTGAACCCACCGGAGACGTCGTGGGCCTGTCGGCGAAACATTGAGGAAGGAGTGCGTCCACTTCGGGACCCAGAGAGATGCCATCATTCAGTTGATTATCCCACAGAGTCCAAGCTGCATTCGGGATTGTGACATCAAGTCCTTTGAAGCAAAAAAAAAGCACTTTGGAGTCCTCTAACACAAAAAGGCGCTGTACATGTGCCGGTCATTGACTGGCTGCGGTTCGGTTTTTGAATGTTTGTTAAATAAACACAAGCTGTACCTGGGACGTCGTGCTAATATTAGGAATACGCGGTCAATAACGTTCCTCTTTGAGAACGGTACTTTGGATTGGGGCATTTATTTTGGCATTTGCTGGGAAAACGTTGAAACTGTTTAAAGACCTTTGCCCCAATTCTCTGTGTGCCGTTTGCTGAATGGACAGCCTGTCTGCAGGTCTTCTAGTCCGCCGTGTGGTGGCTGAGGAGGTGGAATGGGGTGGGGGCAGTGGAGCAGAGATGTGAAAAGTCTTTCACTCAAACAGAGGACAGGATGGAATACCCTGTTTGTTTTCTTTTCCAAATGTTTTAGGAGAGGTGATTTGGGAGCACGTATTGTCGGGTGTGCAAACACAACATTTTATTCCTGACACACTTTAGGTTTAGCTAATGCTAGTCACTCAGCCACTTGACTGGTAAATTGGAAGGCTGTACCAAAAACACATTGGTTAGCTATAATTTATGCTCTGTGTAATCAGGATTGTGCCCTTTGATGGTAACATATGTGGTGGATTCAAGATTAGAGACAGTCCTGTCGCAGATTTGAGTCAAAATGTTAACAGAAAGAACATCTAGCAACAACACAAGAACAAATAAAAGTCGGAAGCTCTTTATCAGATTGAATCAGAATCAGAATCAGAATCAGAAGTTTTTATTGCCATATGTGTGCCAAGTCACAACATTAGGAAATTGCTGCGGTATTTTGGTGCAGAAGGTAAAATAGAAAAAAATTAATTAAGAGATAAGCAAATATAAGAACTAATAAAACACTCATGATAAAATTATTAATGTAAAAAGTGGCAATAATTAGAGAAGCAGCTATCTACTCCGTGTAGGTACTAATCTGAGTGTTTGTTGAATGGTTCAAGCACAGCATCGGGTCACGTGACTGAGACCAATCAACTTGAGTGGGCTGCCCTAGGATTTTCATTCAAAAGTCCAACTGCAGAGGGGAAGAAACTGTTTTTGTGGCGAGAGGTTCTGGTCCGAATGGATCTGAGCCTTCTGCCAGATGGGAGTGAGTCGAAGAGACCGTGTCCAGGGTGAGACGAGTCAGCTATTATCCGACCTGCACGCCTCTATGTCCTAGAGGTGTACAGATCTTGAATGGAGGGGAGTATTATATTTGAATATTTGAAGTCAAATATTTAATCTAGCATTAGCAGACGTCTCTTCAATTACCGGAAACTGTCAAGCCGCCTTCTGATGGACCGAAAACACAACAATCAATGCCAGTGCCATCGACTCACCACCATTCTGCCCAACCTTGAATTCCTCCCGATGAAGACCACAACCGTATCTGAGAGCAGACCCGGCAATGAGCTGCTCGTTCTTTTAAAACCACCCAAACGTAACTTTAAGTTATCACGGTTTTTGTTTTTTATGACAGTAAATCAGTTTGTAATGTTTTCTTACACAAAACAAAGATGAGAAGTTTTTTTTTTTCACTTTATTGAACGATGACTTAGTTGAATTCAAATATTCTGTTGAGCCTTTAATTCTGAGCCTATATTTAGACATGGAAGAACCGTTCAGAAAGCAGCTCAACGTTGGGGACAAAAGCAAACATCTGTACAAAGTTATTCTGTTCAAGTAAAAAGTAGCAATAAACAAGGTTTTAGTGGGCTAAGATTGGCAATAATAAATAAACATGCAACTGATTCATTTGTTCGAGCAGACAAAACAACGTCGGAAGGATAAAGACAGGTTACATCGGTGCAAGCGTCAGCATATTTTATTTACAAATACGTTTGGCTTTATAATTATTTACATTAAAGGAGGTGTCGTCATAGTTTAGGATGATTTTATTTAGTAAATAACCACAGTTCTAAAAATGTGCATAAATGGTCAAATATGTTGACTCCTCCCACCTGGCCTCGCTCATTGACTCTTAAGGGGGATGGACCAACACCAGTTAGGAACTCCTCAGTGGCATACGGCAGCCCAAGCATTGGTGACATGAAAAAATGAACAAAGTAGATCAACCTTGGAACACTATCCTGTACAATGCTACAGCAGAAATGGAGAAATAAAATGGCCAATTAGACCGATTTGGGTCACAACTCTTGAAACAAGTTGGTAGTCAATAAGGAGACAAGAGCTGCGGATGACGAGCATTGCCTTTGGCTCCCCAGTTCAACTGCCGAGTCGTTGGATGAGGCAGGGGGAGTCGACGAGATACATAATTTACACCAAGAAACAAGCAATGAATGGTAACATGTAGTTGTTAAATAAAGCTGCTTAATATCCAGGGCAGCTTTATGTCCAACAGCAACAAGTCCACCGTATCTTCCTCTAAATGAATCAGATCAGGGGTTTCATATCTGCTGCTCTGCCTAACTCACGTGTGCTCCAGTGAGATTATTAAGAATCTCCATTGGCACTCATTCACAAATAAAACCCTGGAGACAGGTCCGTGCAGACCACTGGTATCCACTACAGGATCCACCGCCTTAAACTGTGAGCCCAGAGGAGCTGTCGGCACCAAACAGCTTCGTGCTGAGTGAAAACAGCAGCACCGGCCTGTAGGACACAGAAGCACAACCACACACTCTGTTAGGTGGAAACTCGGGTTCCAGAAGGTGCTCGGTGTCTCAGCTGGGATATCACTGATTCAGCCGATCACGCTGAGTAGCGTCCACTTCCCATCACCTGATGGTTTTCTTGCTATGAAGTCATTTTTATAGAATCTAGATCATTTACACAACTTACCAAAGAAACGTTTAAATCCATCAAACTTCATCCAGCATTCACATGACGGAGCAAACACCCGTCTGTAAGGTCTGTCCAGTACGGTTTTTAGCATACCTGAAACAGAGGAGAGGAGTTTCATCAGCATCAGCCCTCTCCTGAGCGGACGGCAGACCCAGCTGCTGACACGTACCCGTTCAGGTTGGCAGGCTCGGAGTGATAGATGTTTTTTCTCTGCTCGGCTATAGCGGGGGCGTGGTGCGCCACCCCCTGGCTCTGACAGGTCTTCAGTGGGTGGAAGTGGTTCTTCAGGTCCACGTGGCCCACAGGCAGAGACATGTGATGCGCCTCGATGTTGCCATTGACGTCCGCCACCTTGGGCTCTGGTTTCTCCACATCGAGAGTTTTGCGATGTTTCGTTGGCGAGGACACGTCGATCACCCTGATGTCTGGGATGCTGGCCTGCCTTCGGACCAGCTCCGTGTGGGCCTGATGCAGCTTCTTCATGTGATTGATGGCTACAGTTGCATTGAAGGCTTGCTGTGGAGAAAACACATAAGATCTGTAGCTCTGCCCTGTTGACATCAAAACCACACCCAGCATTTTCTTAAGGAGTGCACACTACAGCAGTTACTTTGTTTTAATGGGGGTTGACAGAAAAAAAAATCTTTTGTGCTTCTACTAATTAGCTTTTCATGAGAGTTCTACTAAAATCCATCGGGTGGTTCCTGAGGTTTTGGCCGACAGACCGATGGGTTGTACGGCCATGTTTTAGACCGATTTCTATTCGGGTTTGATTCCCCCGACTGTAAAAACAAACCGTCCTTTTTGTAAGAACACATGCAGTGTGTTTACATGCAGCCAGTAACCCTTTTAAAACCCGAATATTCGCAATAACCCGGCTCCGCAGGTCCTTGTAAACACCGCCAAAAACCCGGTTACTACACCTGGGGTAACCCTTTTCTAACCCGAATGTTTGGTCGTGTAAACGCATACCGGGATACCCCCATCAAAGCGTGTGTTCTGTGCATGCTCTGTTCGCAAGGAATCTTGGTCTTTTGAGTAGCGAGACGTCTTGTACGCGCCAGAACTCCGGAAGTAAACAACAAGTTGGGAGCAACATGGCGAGTCGCGGCACAGCACCACACTTTTGGAGTGACGAGGAAACCTGTCTTCATCGGTCTGGTGAAAAGTATGAACATTATGTCTTTTGTTGACGGCCGAAAGTACAGAGACAGCGAAATATGACGCATATTGCGTCTTGACGTAGTCCATACGTCCTGACGCTACCCCAACGTACGCATTTAAATCGGGTTATGCAAGTTACGGGTAACTCTTTCTATTTGTGCTTGTAAACGGGTTATTCTGATCAACTCAGAAACCCGAATACCGACCTTAACCCGATCATAACCCGGATATTGGCTGCACGTAAACGTAGTCATGATTTAACTGTTCAGGAAGGTCATGAGTGGACACCCGGCTTCCTGTTTACTGAGTACATTTCTAACGGGAGCAGACTGACCTTCCACTTGGACTGGGCAAAGTTCTTCTGGATCTGAACGCTAACAGAATAGTAGATGTCCTGGCTCCTGGCTGTCTTTCCAATAATCCTGGAGAACAGAATACATCACAGAAAGCTTCGCTTTATTTGGATTGTTTCAGGTCCGATCAGGTTTTCCTCTGTGATCCATTTGAACCATTTATTTAAATGTGACTCTTCTTCACAAAGCTGATGGGAGCAGCTCACCATGGATGCCTGAGAGCCTGTTCTGTGGTGTAACGCATGCTGGGATTCTTCTGCATCATGTTACGGATGAAATCCTTCGCTGCAGGCCGACAATAAGATATTTTAGGATGTGAAAATGAACAGAAAGAGACGAGCAATCTACAGATGCACAAGTACCAGATTCAGATATGTCATCCCAGAAGGGCGAGTCAAAGTCATACTGGGCTTTCATGATCTTGGAGAAGAGTCTGGTCTCGTTCTCTTCGTAAAAAGGAGGGTATCCACAGAGTCTGGGAGTAAAACCACCAGTGTTAGCATGGGGACACAGCATATGCTGCAGACCGTACAGGACATCAACACTAGAGGGTGCTATTACACATCTATTACACATCTATTACACATCTATCCAGGTGTATGGAGATCTTTAGAACACATTAATGAGGATGTTTCGGAGCAGATACGTACAAGATGTAGGTAATGACTCCAATGGACCAGCAATCTACTGCCTTGCTGTAGGGCTTCTGTGCCAGAACTTCAGGAGCTGGGAGTGATCAGAAACATTAAAGTTATAACAACGAAAGCCTGATTAAAACCAGTTTATATCCGTCCCAGTACTGGATCATCGTACTCCACATCCTGGCCTCCAGTCTGAGACGTCTGTGCGGAGGCTAGTTTCATTACCTACGTAGCCTGGGGTTCCACAGGCTGTCGACATGATGCCGCTGTCGGCCATCTTTGACAAGCCAAAGTCGCTGATCATGATCTTGGAGTCTTCGTCCTGGCTGTAATACAGGATGTTCTCAGGCTGCATGGAGGACAAACACACAGGTTCACGTTCCGACGCCTGCACGAGCACGCCGCTCAGCCTGGTTTAAACTCATTTTATTCTATTTTCCAGATGATCGCTGAATTTGTTTAAATCGTAATGGTTTAACAGGATTTACTTGTTTTCACTCCTCTCGTTTTAAGTGAACACTATCCCACAGCACTGAGGCGTAGCAGTTGCAACAAGCAGTAGTAATCAGTTTCTTTCAAATATTTCTAATATAAAGTACATGTGCTGTTGAAATAACAAATGAAAAAACAACAGTTTTTGACAAATTTGGGATTTAGTTGATTCATAAATATTTATTAGTTTCAGCAAAGGATTTTTCATTTGGCAAATCTCAGTGTCACTGAAGAGTGTGCACCAGTGTGATATCAGAGGTGTGTGTGTGTGTGTGTGCGTGCGTGTGTGTGCGTGTGTGTGTGTGTGTGTGTGTGTGTGATCATGTTACCTTCAGGTCTCGATGAACAACGCCACTTTGGTGCAGGTAGCTCACAGCCTGCAGGATCTGCTGGATCACTTTGCTGGCATCCTTCTCTGAGTACACGCCTCGATCTAGAATGCGATCAAAGAGCTCGCCACCTGAGACACTGGGACACACACACACACACACACACACACACACACACACACACACACACACACACACAGATTTATTGTTGTGCACATTCTCAAATCCTTTGATTATTTGTTAAAATAACAAATAAAGAAACTCACAGATGCATGATCAGATAGTAATGAGTCCGACTTTCATAGAAGTCCTCCATCCCCACAACGTTCTCGTGTTTGATTCTGGTTGAAAAAGCAAACGGGGTTTTACGATAACTACAGCCTTTCCGCTCGGTCTGCAGATGCACGAACGTTCTGAGGGAATTTACTTTCTCAACACGGCGATCTCATTCTCCAGGTTAATATCTCTCTTCTTCTTCTTCTTAATACACTTCATGGCAAACGTTTTCCCCGTTTTCTTCTCTCGGACCATGTAGACCTCGGAAAACGCTCCTCTGTTAACAGAGAAATAAAAACAAAACGTGAGCTTTCACCTTCTCTGTTTCGCAACAGAATAAGAACAAAAAACAAAACTTCACTATGTGAGAATAAATAAACCTCATCTCTCATGAGAGTCGGGCTACGATAAAAGAACTTAGAGCAGAAAGCCAACCTAAAGTGGATTTAGCATTTTCATTGTTCTCAGAACGATCTCGTTCCCCTTTTACCCGACGAGCATCTTCAGCCACTAGTGAATGCACATTTAAACTAAAAAGTAAAACAATTTAAATAACAAGAATGAATTAATTCAGACATAAATAAAACAGAGACATGTTCTGATTTGTAAACTGTGTAATAATCATAAAAAGAACCAAAACCTAAAGAAATGTTCATGCTGCTGCCGGTCTCTCATTTACAATCACCACGGTAACCACACACACACATACACTGTCTCCCTGACAGGGTGGCAGAGAGGAACAGAAGCTAAACAGTAAACCTCAGACAAACCACCCCTGCATGAAATTAGGTTGGAAATATTCCCGAAGTGAACAGCAGAAGGCCCCGGTGGTCGCACGGGCACATCAAACGTTTCTGTTGTACTGTAACTTCTACTTCTGAAGAAAAGCCAACGCTGTGATGTATGACTTTTATGTTTGTAATAACGACAGAATCACAGCGTGAAGGTGCTTCAGTGCACTTGCACCAACGATAAACGACACCACCGGTTCACGCTGCTTCACCAGGTGTTCATGATCTGAAGGTCCCGGAGTTGAAGAGATGGTAAAGCAAAGAGCTACAGGAATAGCAGCATCAACAGCTGCGATCCTGTGAAAGAACTTTGAGGATTAACTTGTTAGAAGCTTGTTTTTGTCCTCTGAGATGTGCTGTTCCCATGCTATCTTCAGCCCAGGCTGGGAATAGTTGTTCCTCCAGGTGGATTAAATCCTTTATCCCTGACGCAATGGAAAGGGCGACCAGCTGAGTGCTCTGGGGGGGCAAAGGTCAGCCAATCCTGTGCAGGTCAGGTCACAGACTGGTGTCAAGGGCTGTGGTCAGACAGGACGTCATCTAGCGGCTGTCGGTCTGGAAGCTGACACACTTCTGCTGGAACAGTGGGTAAATGTGGGCACAAAGGATGCCTTTTTTCTTCTGTTTTCTTTTAAACGAAGGTCCTCAAGAGAGTCTGTCATCAAACCAGAATCAACTATCAACACATTGTTTTAGCTGAGCCGTGTTTTTAATGAAATGCTGGTTGTTTCTTGTTGCTAGGTAACAACAGGATGTTGCAGGATGAGTGATGAGGCCCACGGGGCCGGCCTCTGGTCCCATCTGGGTTCCCTTCTATTTACTGGAATGGAAAACAGGAAGCTGACCCAGATCAGAAGGTCCACATCTTCAGCGGTGACTCACCGATCCAGAGTTTCTCTGCTTCCACAATAAACTAACCTCACACCAAGGAGCCTTGTCCTCCTTTTCCAAACCCTTTTGTTTTCAAGTCACTCGGGTAAAAAATAATGCGACTGCTTCAGACTGACTGAAGTGCAGGCGGTGCTCTGGGGGGAATGCCTCCTTCACAACCCAATCATCACAAACGAGTTCGTCTCCAGCCCCCTCAGCAGCTTACTCAGCAAGCTCGTCGACCCGTTGTTCAGCTGAAACGCTCGGAGGCGAGAGGGGACCTGCTGATCCCAGTAAACAAACTCTACTTGGATTTACCAGCTAAAATGGAAGATGAAGAAATCCAGTCAGACGTGGGATTTACTTCAAACTGAGACGTTCATTTCCTTTCTTTGATAGATGAATGTATTTAGATGAATTTCAATCTGTTCTGCTGCTAAAGTTTAAAAGTCACACAAAACCCATTTTGAGTTTCAAAATTGGTTCTAAATCCAAATGTTTTTTGTTTCCTGTGCTAAAAGCAGAATGTCCCGCAGGTTTTCTGTGAATGAGCCGCCGTGCCGCCATCTGAGACTCTGTAATTAAAGTCAGAACATCTTAGTGTCTAAGACTTCTCCAAAGTCGGCCTCTTCGCGCCAATCCAATAAAACGTCTGATCTACCTGTCCCACCTACAGCTGTGGAAAGTGTTTCTGAGACGAAGCTGGAGGGGAAAACTGCTCAGATAGAAGTTACTCACGAGCCAAGCTCCTCTATGAAGTCGAAAATCTCCTGAATGTTCTCGGTGTTTTTTTTCCAGGCGTAGTCGCCCTCTTGGCGCCCCATGTCTGCTGCTGCTTCCGCTGGGAATTCTGTGCAAGAGGAACCAAACACACAAGCAGAGGTGTTACAGTGACCTGGTTTACGTTCTGCGTCTTTAAGCAGCAAATATAATCCAAGCTTAATGTTCAGACTCCTTCATGACTGTAATCATGCAGCCAGACAGTCGTTGGAGATTACTGGAGTCGTGAAGGTTGCTGCTGAGACGGTTTACAGGCGAGACGAGGAGTCTCTGTCTGTGAGACATCTGCCCTGGGTCCAGGTGACAGGTGGGTCCAGTTAGGAGCTAAAGGACCCGGCTAATCACACTTGTCTTTCAAAGCTCCCACCAGAGATCCTCAGTGAAGAACATCAGAAGAACTAAATAGTTTTTTGTGCACGTGTAAGCCAACAATCAACTATTCAAACCTTCAGCTAATTTGACTTTTTACGTGTTTTATCCAAAGTGGTTCTCTTGTAAGAGGAAGACGTGAAGATGTGGAAGGATCAGAGTTCAGGAACGAATCACGCAACTAATAAAACCGAAGGCCCCAAGAAGGATTAAGGAATTCTAATGAGCAGGTTACCCAATTTGATTTCCCGTCCTGTTTGGTCTTATATAATGGATTAGCAACTCCTGACCTGGAATCTGGTGGCAATTTACAATCTAATGAACATTTTCAGCTGCATTTACAAAGGCTGTGCAGATGGAGAGAGCCAGTTTTTGATAAAAACGTGACATCAACCCAGCAGAGACAAGACTGGCTTCACACAATCGCAACCTGCAGCTCGTCATTTTCTAAAGAGACCCTTTCCTCGTAACACAACTTCTGAAGTCAACGTGGACGTTGCCTTGTTGTTACAGAAACAGTAAGGAACGCGAGAAAGCAGCACATCCTCTGTAACAAACACAGCAGCAGCAGCATCCTCAGAGATGTCACAGGGGGAAGGAGCGGACTTTCAGTCTGAATTTAAATCACACGGCACAAAAAACTAAGCATCGTCCAAATCAGGTCATGGAACAAACATTCAGCGAGTAGCAAGCAGGCCCAGACTTACCTAGCGACTCGATGCTGCCGGAGCTCTGACTCTCCTACCAAAGGCTGTCCAGGATCTGCACAGAGTACTTGGCGTGGGAGCATTCAAATAACTGTAGTCAAGTCAGGGATTAGTAGAGACTGTAAAGGGGCGGGGCTGACTCATTCAGACCCACAGCTCAGGTTGGCTCTTTCATCCGTCCTCGAACAGCAGGTAGAAAGTGACATAACACAAACTCGTGTACTTACAGTGGGAAGCTAAAGTTTACGCAACCTTGTTAATCTTCATGATTTCCTGTATAAATCGTTGGTTGTTACGATAAAACATTTCAGTTAAGTATGTCAGAGGAGGAACACACGGAGATATTTGTGGAGTAAAACAAAGTTTATAGGATTTACAGAAAATGTGCAATAACAAAATTAACCAGGTGCATAAATGTGGGCCCCACAAAAATAAATGAACTCAGTATTTAGTAGATCCTCCTTTTGCAGGAATAACAGCCTCTAATCGCTTCCTATAGCTTCTAATGAGAGTCTGGATTCTGGCTGAAGGTATCTTGGACCATTCTTGTTTACATAACATCTCTAGTTCTTTCAGGTCTGACGGCTTCTGAGCATGGACAGCTCTGACTCACACCACAGGTTTTCAGTAATATTCAGGTCCGGGGACTGAGATAAATAATTCCATTTATTTGATAGAGCACATTTGAAAACAGCATGTGAGCGGACCAAAGTGCTGTACAGGGGTAAAAGGTTAAAAGAATAATATAAAAGAATAAAACAGCTAAGTGGTTCCCAACCTTTTTCCCAAGGGACCCCGTTTTTTACCAGCAAAATTTTTGACGACCCCCTCCCATTCTCTCTTCCAGTACAAACAGTATTAAGAAATGATAAAATTGTTCAAGCACATTTTAATATGCTTTGATTCAATAGATAACAGTAATAGTCGGCTCCAGTACAGAACAAAGTCATTAACAAAACCAAACAGAGCATAATGTGCTTGACAGTTTGTATTACGTTTCTGAACACATTGTTTCTTGTAAACACCGATAAATCAATCATTCCTTTCAATAAACGTTTGACACATAAAAAATACACTCAGCAAAATGTACTTAAATGTGTATATTACTGTTTATACTAGATTATTTACTGTAAAGGCTGTGATTAATCAACCAGTCCTATCTTTAGTGAACTTTTGACACTTGAAAATAAAACAGTGAGCTGAGCAAAATGTTCTTAAAAGTGTGTTACTCTTTCTGTACTAATTATTTCCTGTCTTAATATCAGTAAACTTTTCACTCATGAAAAAAATGTGAGCAAAATGTAGGCTATAAACAAGTAATAAATAAAGTTTTAACCCCTTAAAGTGGAGAGGTCCTGGCGACCCATTGGCTTTGGCGCCCCCTTGTGGGGGTTGGGACCCTCAGGTTAGGAACCACTGAAACCGAACAAGAGAAGTCAATAAAATCGGTTAGAGATAGTGTAAATAAACCATCAATAAAATAGCTGGGCAGTAAAAGCAAGGGAATAAAAGTAAGTCTTTAAGTGAGACTTTGGCCCTGTCCACACGTAGCCGGGGATCTGCCAAAACGTAGATATTTTTCTACGTTTTGGCCTGTCATCCACACGAAAACTGAGTTTTTTCACACGAAAACGGATCTTTTTAAAAACTCCGGCCAAAGTGAAGATCGGCGTTTTCTCCGTTTTGGGTGTCTGCGTGTGGACAGACAAAACCGGAGTTTTAAGGTCCGCAACGTCACTTTCCGCGACAAAAAATGCTGACATCACGTGTGCGACCTGTGTTTACACTAGCCGACAGCATGGATGCCCTCAGATCTGCGCTCACTTTATCAATTGTCCAAGCGCTTTTTGCTTGTTTGTTTTTGCAAGAGGAATTACTGCTCCTTGTGGAAGACCACAGACGAAGGACGAGGTTAAGAACGGGGGAAGTACTGCCACCTACAGGTCTGGCATGTCCTTAACAACGTATTTATCCGGGTACGTGTGGACAGAGTTTGTTTTTAAAACGCGGTGGTGTGGATGCAAGTTTTTGGAGGGGCGGATATTCGTTTTCAAAAAAAAAAAACGGCTACGTGTGGACTAGGCCTTAAAAACCCCAATAGAGGAGGAGAGTCTGATATTCAACGGGAGCTCATTCCCCGAGTTTCGGAGCCCAGACAGAAAAAGCTCGTTCACCAGCGTAGACGGGGAATCTGTAGTAGGTGTAGGTCACCTGAACGGAGAGTCCTGCCTGGCACATAAGGAGTGAGTAACTCGGATAAGTAAGGTGGTGCTAAGCCATTCAGCGCCTTAAAAACAAACAATAACATTTTAAAACGTATACGGTAGTGCACAGGAAGCCAGTGAAGTCTTGCTAAAATTGGAGTGATGTGCTGCCGACGGCCAGTATTGGTCAGAAATCTTGCTGTCGCACTTTGTATCAGCTGAAGGCGAGATAATGCGGCTTTTGAAATGCCAAACAGAATTGCGTTGGAGTAGTCCAACCTTGAGGTGATGAAAGTGTGAATGGTTGTCTCGAGGTGGCGCCGATTCAGAATGGGTTTTAGTTTGGAAAGATGTCAGCTGATAAAAACATGATTTAACCATGTGATTAACATGAGGGTCCATTTTTAGAGCCACATCCATTTCGATTCCAAGATTAACAATTGTTTGACAAATTTTAAAAGGAAGAGCGGAAAAATCAGGAGCTGAGGAAGACGAGCCATTAGGAGTAAAAACAATAAACTCGGTCTTAAAATCATTCAGCCGCAGAAAATTTGCTGCCAGCCAGTCTTTAACCTCACTCCGGCAATCAAGTTCTTCTGAATTCATGCGTGTGAGAGTTTAACCAAGGGTCGGATTTTGGCTTTGGGCATCTAACCTTTAAAGGAGCAACGGTATCCATCACCATGAGGCAGGCTGAGTGAAAAACCCGCAAAGTATCATCCGGATTGGTGTAAAATAGGGGGGAGGCCGGCAGTTCAGAGAAAGAAGCACAAAATCTATCTGCTGTAGCCGGTGTAATAACCCATGTCTGGCGCAGCACCACAGGCCTTCTACCTAAGCTCGCCGGACAATCAAAATCAAACAAAACTGGAAAATGATCAGAAATGACAGTTTCGTCAACAGACAAATTATTAACGTTTACCCCATAAAACATCACTAAATTTAAAATATGAGACTGGTTCTGGGTAGGAACCGACACAACCTGCTTAAGACCAAAAGAATCAAGTTCCAATTCCAGAACATTCTGCTTGTTTCTCTGCAAGAATGCCTCAGTAGATGTTGAGCAGTCCTGGATATTGGTCTCCAGGATCTGCTGATGTAAAATAAATAAATAAATAAAAACAACCTTTGGGTCCTGATGGGGGGAGGTTTCCCTCCCAACCACACCTCTCCAGGCCTCACGGTCGTTGCCCACATGAGCATTGAAGTCCCCCAGCAGAACAACAGTACTCCCATCCAAGGACTCCAAATAGGGTGGGTAGAACCACCTGCAGTGAACAGTTGAGACCCAAAGAAGAATGGTCCAAAATACCTTCAACCAGAATCCAGACTCTCATTAGAAGCTATAGGAAGTGTGTTCGATTTTTTGTTTGGTTTATTTGTTTGTTTGGTTTATTTGTGTTTAGAGGCTGTAATTTCTGCAAAAGAAGGATCTAATAAATATTGAGTTCATTTCTTTTTGTGGTGCCCAAATGTATGCACCTGCCTAATTTTGTTCAAACAATTATTGCACACTTTCTGTAGGTCCTATAAAAAATGGTAAATGGCTTGTTATTGTATAGCGCCTTCTTAGGCTTCTACAACCCCCCCAACACTTCACAACTCAATCAGCCATTCACCCATTCACACACTATAAACTTAGTTTCACTCTCAAATCTCACTGTGTGTGTCTTTTATATGATAATGACAGATTTTTTTATCATAACAATTAACAGTTTTTACATAAAAATAACGAAGATTAGCAAGGCTACCCAAACGTTCCCATCTCATAGTGTGCTCTATCAAATAAAATAAGTTTTAAGCCTAGTCTTAAAGGTAGGCAAGGTGTCTGCCTCAGACTAAAGCTGAGAGCTAGTTCTAAAGGAGAGGAGCCTGATGACTAAAAGATCTACCTCCCCTCTTATTTTGAGATAACGTAGGAACCACCAGTAGACCTGTAGTCGGGGAATGAAGTGCTCTGTCAGGAACATATGAAATAAATACCAGCTGCAGCCTTTCTGTGGGGAGTTAGCCTTTGTTCTTCGGGATTTTTTTCTGGGTACCTGGGTTTCCTTCCACAGACCAAAAACATGCTTGTCCAGTAAGTTGGAAACCCTAAACTGTCCCTAGGTTTGAGTGTGTGAATGTCTTTTTTGTCTCTGTAGATCCTTGAGATGGACTGGCAACCTGTAAAGGGTGTCCCATTGAATGAAGATGAGTGAATGAGGGAGAAAATATAGCTTTAATTCAAAATTATTTTTAAACAAATTTCTAAATCTGAATATAATTAAAAACATATTTTCATTTAGAAACAATTTCACATTAGATGACTGAGGTCACCTTGTTTAAATCAGTTTTCTGAGAATATAATTTAATTTAGTGTTGGAAGTATCAGAACATCGGGTAATGGTAAATGATCTGCAACAGATATCAGTGATCTGAAATCAAAATCAACGAGTGTCTTGTATAACTTGCAAACAAAGCCATGTTCTCTTTTCTGCAGCATTTGTAAAATATTACACTATAAATGCAGAAACTGCAGCATCCTTGAACTACAAGCTCTGAGAGGTTTTCACATCACAGATTAGCAGATTCCCTTCAACCTTGCACAGCCTTAATTGGAAACATGCTGCATTATAACATAGGCTGCACTCTGGTTTTCAAAGGCAACCTTTAACAGGCTTATGAGCACCTGATGCAGCTTAAAACATGTCACCTGCTGCACCAGCAGAGACAATGGACACGTTGTGCCAATGACTCAGACAGCCACCTCACATATTCACAGCTCACAGATGCTAATGCGACTCAAGCCACGGAGTGAACCATTAACTAAAGGCCTGGCTTT